AGAGGTGGGATGGGATGGGATGGGGATGGGGGAGGACAAGATTCGGTATGGACCAGGGGGTTGAAGGAGAGGGGAAACCAAAAGGAGGGAGGGATTTTTTTCTTGGCAAGATCTTATGCATGATGCATCTTTAGGGCGGGGATATGAGAGCGAAGGGGGGGGGGGATTACTGGTTACTTGCTGGTCAAGAGGTGCAGTAGTGTCAGGTATGGGTGGATAGTATCAAGCTTTTTTGTTGCTTTTTTGTGTTGTGCTGATGGTGGCTGACTGGTGGTGGTGATGATGGTGCCCAAAAAGGAGGGGAGAGGAAGAGGAGGAGGGGGGGTTTGTTGATGTTGATGCTGGCAACATGTAAGCAACAGATATCCTCCCGAAAAGGCCGGATTGGTTGGTTGGTTGGTTAGTTCTCTCTCTCTCTCTCTCTCTCTCTCTCTCTCTCTCTCTCTCTCTCTCTTTCGGACAGGATTTTCTTTTTTCTGTTGAGAGAGGGTCGGATATGTCGGGGAGTTTAGGTCGTAAATCCGCCCATAGGTAAGGTACATAGCCTTGAGATGGGGAGATGGGGGATGTGATGTGTTGTCTTCTTGGCTTCGACTCTTTCTCTCACTTCCGGTGTTTCCATTCCCCGGACATCCCGCGCAGCGCAAAATGCGGAGGAGAAGTTGTTGGAAAGGTAGCCTTATTACCCCCCCCCCCGCCTCTAGCTGTCCCTCAAAAACAGTGGAAGCGAGCGGGTTGACAAGAGCTCGCTATGCTACATTGGCTCGTTTAACTGAGGCACTATTACTTGATGGTTTCTTGGTGTTGTTTTTTTCTGGGGTATGGGGGTATGGGGGTTGGTTTGGGATTCGCGCCGCAGAGTAAGTACTAAGAGAGCGGCGTGGGGGTACAACACCTGGATGATATGATGATGGGGGATGTGCCATCGGGGTGTTGGTGAAATGTTGCCGAATGAAGAGAGCATCAGCCAAGAAATCAAACGGAGTTGTCTCTCCGAATTGTCTTTTGTTTCTTATGATTGATATGAATCTCAGGGGGGGAAAAGGGAGAGGGAGGGTCAGAAGAAGCTCTTTGAGGTATGTAGTGTTATGCAAGCCAAGACGGCAGGTGGCAGATCGCTACATGGCACTTGGCAAACCTGAAAAGAAAGGCCGAATTGTGTGTGTGTGTGTGTGTAGAAGAGGGGATTCTGAGAGATTGTCAAAGTTGCAATTATATGAAGAAGGGGGAGATTCTCATTAACCGCCCAAAGACCCATTCTCGTCAGATTAATGCTGGTCTTGGCGAGGGGCTCGCAAGTGTCGGGTTGACTATAAGTACTGTGCAGACTGAAGGTAATGGTGTGGTGGAGCGAAGACGTGGTGAAGAAAAGGCAATAATCGCCACATATTGCTTATCTATGAGATCTGCTGTGGTGCCCATGTGAGCATGCTTCAGGTTGTGTCCCCGTCTCACGGGCTGCACTTATCCATAGGACCCCTCCGCAATGACCGTCATCTTGTGCTTGGATTGTGCCACTGTATGGTGACTGCCTGACTCGGGATGACGAGCACGTTGATCAGGGGAGGCGGCTGATGTCAGGAAACCACATGATTGTTTTCTCAACTACACAAAAATATGAACAGATACCCATCACAACCACCCCTGGGATTCCTCACCAATCTCAGATCCCTTCTTTCTCGGCGGCGCTCGGCAGATCTTGATCAACGGCACTGGCCCGTCTTGGCGAAAGCACACAACTCTTGGCAGCCCGGGAATGTCTTCATTTTCTCAGCGAAGGCCGAAGTTTATCACGGTCTCCGACACTCAGGAGAAGGGGTCTGGGGCCTCGACCTTCTTGATCCTGAACTGAGCCGAGTCGATGCCGCATTCTTGAATCAGCCTCGGAATGTTGACCTCTGCCCAGAATTTCTTGTCGAAGCTGTCAAATCGGCGTCGGCAGCAAGTTTCGCCAGGTAAGTGCTTCAAGAAGCACATCGGAGGTTTATCGTCAGACTTCTCGCCTGAGCCGACTTCGGGAGCGTGGCACTGGCACCAGAAAGAAGGGCTGTCCGACTTGCGTACTCTCATCGATGCCTTCTCCAGGTAGGGGTCCGACAAAACCACCAGCAGCGCTTTCATCACCGGGTTGTGCCTCAAAGACATCGTCGTACGCATAGCGTCTTGTGGTGGTGCAAATAATCCATAGTGTGGTGAAACGCGACGGACAAGGCCTTCGTTGCCCAAGGGGACTTCGACCTCGAGGCGGCGAAGCCTTCCGTTAAGTATCATATAGCCCAGCGCAGGTATCAGCTTGTTTTCCAGGTAGGCACCTCCGAACCGGTCAATACGAACGAGGACATGCCGCAAGCTCAGCCTTGGGCCTTCGACTGACCCAAGATTGCCGTCATCCTGCGTATCAGAGCTCCTCAGCAGCAACCTATCGACTTTCCCTGTCTTCATGAGGACCTTCCGGATGCCATGTTGGTCGGCCTTTAGTGTTTTCGACCGTTGGTTCGCCAAGCGAAGATGAAACATATTCCTGCCGTAGTATATCCCGCTCGCAATTCTATACAATTCCGTACACGTGAGCATCATGTTTACAGGCGGGCCTGCCACGTAAGGTTCGAAAGCAGTAGGGTCATTGAGGAAATCCCGGGCAGTTTGGCCAACGCCTCGAGCGCTGATCACATGGCCGTTGGTGACGTATACGCCCCCCGGATAGAGGCATACGTGCTCAACTATCTGCTCGCGGATTTCTGGAGGTAGGTCGAAAAAGTAATGAAACTTGTTGTGTGTTATACTCGTCTGCTGTGGATTCGGTGCGCTGATATCATGGGATTCCATATTCCAAGGCAGCGTAGACTCGTCGTGTCCCAGAGAGAGCGACTAAACACCATAAAGTAGACTTTGGTTAGACATCAAGAGATATTGTGACAATGAAGACGATGTGTTGAGTGAGCAAACTGAAGGTAATGATAGGAAGGAACCAGCATTTCAATGTGCGGGGGAGAACGGAAGTCCACAAAGCTTGGGGCGGGGCCGAGGTAACAGACTCCACCGCAGATTGGTTGGCGCTGGGATACTCCTGAGCCTCAACGTTGGGCTTCCTCCCCCACAGTGACCAGGCACCCTGAACCTTCAGAGGTAACTCATTAAACTGGAGCCAGTATTTAAAAGCACTCTCGATGTGGGCTGGAGTAATCTTGCTCTTGCCAGCTAAACCGGCATTCTATTCAGCAGAAAGAGGGGGGTCGGCACTCTTTAGAATAGAGTGGATTACTGCCAATGGGATAGTGTAAGTGATGGCTTGAGAAAAGGACTGATCAGCGAGTCTCTTCAGTTCCAAAGAAGCCACCAGAAGTGTCGATGAGACAGGCTTTGGTAATTTACACCGTAACGATATGTTACTTGGAATCTTACTTAAGCCACAGATCAGCCTGGCAGCACGTGAATTGTACTCGAAGCCGTTGGCTACAATTAAGGGAACCCTCCAAGATCGAAAGATTGGATCTCAAAAATTTGGCGGATAGTTATGCATACCCTCCCAGCATAACTGACATATCATTCCAGAGATGAGGCCAGCGGTGCTGCCCTCAGCATTCTAAAAGGTCTGTCTAATGCTTGTCAGAAAATGAGGAAAGTTCAAGTAACACAGAGCCAACATATCGCAGTGAACTCAAGCCGGCGTAGGATGCTTCAATACCTCTTCCAGACTACCAGATGTGGAAAGAGGGAAGGCGTGGGACACATACTGAAAGACAAGTGATGGGCTTGATCTCCATGAATGGAGCCATTGCTTAGAAGACTATATATGCATGCTCACCGTATCGCCATGCCTTCATCATATCCATCAGCGCATCAGACTATCTCCCCTACACATGCCAGGGAGCTAAAGGACATGATCCTTCCAGAACAAGGCATGACTAGACCGACTTGATGTCTTCCAAGTCTAACGGTAGGCCCTCACGCTATTTTTGAACACCTCAAAACAATCATCAGACACCTACCAAGACATAACAAAGGCCTATTTGAATACTTCTACACAAATTCATATTCAAAATACACATGCAAATGATACTATCACGCCTCTTAGCTATCTTTCAATGCGTATCAACTATCTTCGGACGTGTGTTGAATATATTCTGATGCGTATTAAGTGATAATACAGGCATTTTAAACATCCTGATATGTGTTTTGGGAACAGGCCAATGCCTATAGAAGATAGTGGTAGACCTGTTAAAGACAGTGGAGCTCCTATGGAAAAGACAAGAAGACATATTTTTATGCAATGGTTGTGTTTGGGATATTTGAGAAGGCATATAGACTGACAGCTGAGGCCTGTTTGACATCTCTGTAGGCCTCAAAAGCATCCATATGGGCCTATGATAGTTGTTCACAGGCTTCTTGATAGGAACTGGAGGCATTGTTTGTATCTGCCAAGCTGTCTTGGGGATGTAAACAGACGTCTGGTCTATCATTATACGCCTGCGAGACATGACAATAGGCATAGCAAACATCAAAAGCATAGAACAAGGAAAGTATCAGTCGGGGGTAAGAGTCATTCTTCAACAATGCGAACATATCAAAACACGAAGCAGCAGCCAAAAAGACAGCTCAACATGGGTCAACAAACAAATCAAACATTTGGTCATCACTATACTTTTTGGTGAACCTCCCTAGTCTACATGCATGGCGCCAAAGAGATTCGGGTCGTAAGAAGGAAATAAAAAGAGGAAAACACCCCAATCGTTGCAATCTTTGACATCCTCTTTTTGCCTAAGACGATGGCTCCGCAGCGAAATGCAATTCGAAGCCTGGATCCCTCTAACTTTTTTGTGTCCCGCTCCGCGAAACAGCATGGAAAGACGCCTCCCGTCATACCGAAAGGGCCCTAAAACGGCGGGCCCCGCTTGATGATCCAGACCGTGGCTTCATATCCCGTCCCAAATGCGCCCGAAAACCTAGGTGAAAAGGCCCACCAAACAACCGCTCACTCGTTAAAGCGAAGAAATGACAATTTACCGGGAGGACATGGCCTTGGTAACAAGGCGCTTGAGGGCAAGCTCCTTCTTCTTGAGGTCGTCAGCAGTGGAGTCCTCAATCTCAAGCTGGCCCATGGCCTCGCTGAGGCTCTGCTCAATCTTGTCCTTCTGGCCGCGCTTGAGCTTGAGGGACAGAGTTGGGTCAGAGATGATCTCCTCAACACGGTTGATGTAAGACTCAAGCTGCTGCTTGGCCTCGAAGCGCTTGCTGAAAGCCTCATCGTTGGTCTTGAACTTCTCAGCCTCTACAGAGATTGTTAGTGTCTGGTATTTAAGCTTAAGCAGTCAAGGGGATGGCTTACCGTTGATCATGTTCTCGATCTCAGCGGAAGAGAGCTTGCCGACGGAGTTGGAGATGGTGATGTTGGCGCTGCGGCCGGAGGTCTTCTCAGTGGCGGTAACCTTGAGGATACCGTTGACATCGACCTCGAAGACGACCTCAAGGACGGGCTCGCCAGCCTTCATGGGAGGGATAGGAGCAAGGGTGAATTCACCCAGGGAGGTGTTGTCCTCGCAGTTGACACGCTCACCCTGGTAAACGGGGAACTGAACGGTCTGCTGGTTGTCGGCAACAGTGGTGAAAGTCCGCTTCTTGATGGTGGGGACAGTCTGGCCACGGGGGACGACGGGGGCGAAGATGTTGCCCTCCATGGCGACACCAAGGGAGAGAGGAACGACATCCAAAAGGAGGAGGTCGGAGGTCTCAGCAGAGGTGGCCTTGCCGGAGAGGATACCGGCCTGGACGGCAGCACCGTAGGCGACGGCCTCATCAGGGTTGATGCTCTTCTCGAGCTTCTTGTTGTCGAAGAACTCGCTGAGGAGCTTCTGGATCTTGGGGATACGAGTGGAACCACCGACGAGGACGATCTCGTCAACGGCGCTCTTCTCGATGGCAGCATCCTTGAGGACCTGAGCGACGGGCTCGAGGGTACCGGCGAAAGCCTTGGAGTTGAGATCCTCGAAACGGGCACGAGTGATCTGCATGTTGAAGTCCTCACCATCAAAGAGAGAGTCAATCTCAATGGTGGTCTGGGCACCGCTGGAGAGAGTACGCTTGGCACGCTCGCAAGCAGTTCTCAAGCGACGGAGGGCACGGGCATCACCGGAAAGATCCCTACAAACATAGTTAGTCAAAGATATTCATGAAAACTCTTGGACAGGGAATTTGGCGACTTTTTCGTTTTTCTGGTGAACTCTTTCTTGCAGTAGTCGAGGAGGTTGGTATCGAAATCCTGACCACCAAGATGGGTGTCACCAGCGGTGGCCTTGACGGTGAAGACACCACCCTGGATGTTGAGGAGGGACACATCGAAAGTACCACCGCCCAAGTCGTAGATGAGGACGTTACGCTCCTTGCCGGACTTGCCAGCGCCGAGACCGTAGGCAATGGCGGCAGCAGTGGGCTCGTTGATGATACGGAGGACGTTGAGGCCGGAAATGGCACCAGCATCCTTGGTGGCCTGACGCTGGTTGTCGTTGAAGTAGGCGGGCACGGTAATGACAGCCTTCTCAACCTTCTTGCCGAGCTTGGCCTCAGCAATCTCCTTCATCTGTGGGTTAAAGTCTGGTTAGCACATTCCGGCTTTTTGCAGTCTGACTCGGAGATTTGTTTACGAACCTTGACAAGGACCATGGCGGAGATCTCCTGGGGGGAGAAAGTGTGGGTGCTGCCGAGGTACTCAACGGAGACCTTGGGGTTACCCGCACCATCGTCAACGACCTTGAAGGGCCACGACTCCATATCCTTCTTGACGGTCGGGTCATCGAAGCGGCGACCGATGAGACGCCTGTGCAGAAATTGTTAGCGGACTGTCGCTGTAAAAATTTGTGGTCTTCCCCGGCGAGATCCGGAAAAGAGGGGTAAGCACATACTTGACATCGAAGACGGTGTTGACGGGGTTCATGGCAGCCTGGTTCTTGGCCGCCTCACCGATCAGACGCTCCTCAGGAGTGAAGGAGACGAAAGAAGGGGTGGTGAAGCTACCCTGCTCGTTGGCAATGATCTCGACATTGGTACCCTCGTACGTAGCAACGCAAGAGTAGGTGGTACCTATTCGCAAAAACTTGTGTTAGCGATTACCCCTCGCACACCAAAATTTATCGATATCGATTCTGTGGGTTTGCTGGCAGAGCGCGCGGGGCAGCGCTCGCCGGTGGTGGTGGCTTCTTACCGAGATCAATGCCAATGGCACCGTCATAAACTTCGTCCGCCATTGTGAAGGATGTGTGGTTGATGAAGGGAAGTTTGTGAGGGAGAGCTGAATCTGGCGCAAAGAAGGAAACCCGATTGCAGCGTGGGGCAGGCGGGAGGGTTCTTAAATTTTCACAGATTTTTCGGTTGCGTTGAACTTTTTTTTCGTTCCCGCCAAGCCACGCCTCTAGCCCCACCCTCTTCCCACATCCAGTTAGAGAAGTGAGGGGCCAACCTGGGAGATAAGCTTATCAGCCCCACCTCGTGACAAAACACGTGACAGGAGTGGTTGCGGAGGTGGGAGGACCCTGGCCAACGGGGGCGCTAAACTGACAAGAGGGTGGGTGGTTTTGGGCGAGCGCCCGCCCGCCGCCCTCCAACACTGATGAATTTGCGACTGACGATTTAACAAACCTCTTCGAACCACGACGCCACTACCGCACACACCCTGACCTTTGCCTGGAGCAAAGTCAAGCTTTCCTTCCTCACCTGCCATTAGAAAGAGCTACCTGCACCTGCCCCCGGCGGTTAATTGAGCTTTTTTCCCACCACCCAAACCGACAGGAGAACCCGAGTTGCATCTCTGCGAATCCCTCCCACTCATAAAACCCAACGCCAAAAACGAGCGAACTGCGGGACGCAATCTTTGTTGCCCTGTGGACCCCTCTACCCAACTCCAAACCTCACCTCCCCATTTCCCGACACGGCAGTGTTTCGCATTCGACAAGTCGCCGCTCCACACACACACACAAACCTCACCATGTCCGACCAGGTCGATCTTACCACCATCCCCATCTCCCCCGATGGAGGTAACAAGCCCGAGGGCGCCTCCTCCGAGGACAACGACAAGACCGTCACCGTTTTCCACGACAAGGACAACTTCAATGTCAAGCATCCCCTTTCCAACAGGTGGACACTCTGGTTCACCAAGCCTGCCAGCGGAAAGGTTGGTATCTCTTTGGGTGCCCCGCACCTGCACGAACAGTCTCGGCTCAGCTACTAACCGGACGATTCAGGGCGACAACTGGAACGATTTGCTCAAGGAAGTGATTACCTTTGAGTCTGTTGAAGAGTTTTGGGGTGTCTACGTATGTTGATAGGATCCTGTGACCCTGTGTTCCTGATTTAGTATACGTGACTGACTGTTGTTCCTCTACAGAACAACATCGCTCCTGTTTCTGAGCTTGCGCTCAAGTCTGATTACCACCTCTTCAAGGAGGGTGTGCGACCCGAGTGGGAGGACCCCCAGAACAAGCATGGTGGCAAGTGGTCGTACCAGTTCAAGGAGAAGAGAAACATCAGCATCGATGACCTTTGGCTGCACACCATGCTCGCCGCCATTGGCGAGACCCTGGAGAACGAGGAGGACGGCGAGGTCATGGGCGTTGTTGTCAACGTGCGCAAGGCCTTCTTCAGAATCGGTGTCTGGACCCGCACCACCGGGAGACACGTGCCGGGCCGTGGTGACGGTGACGTTGCCGGCGGCAAGGGCCGCTCCCCTGAGAAGGGCAAAGAGATTCTGATGACGATTGGCAAGCGGTTCAAGGAGGTCCTCAGACTGCCTGCCACCGAGCAGCTCGAATTCTCTGGTCACACCGACAGTGCTCACAGTGGTAGCACTCGTGCCAAGGCGAAGTTCGTGGTGTAAGTTTTTTGGGGATGGTTAATTGCTAGAATATGTTTAAGCATGCATACGCCCTGATATTGGCTCTCTTATCCGAGAGCATATCATATCAGCCTGGCTTTATTGGCAGGATCGGGATAAGAAATAGACACGATGAGACGACAAATGGGCGGATCTCTTTCATTCCTTTGCGAAAAGTTGGTCATTTCATTTTACGTCGAGGGTGCACGGGGGGGAACGGCTCTCAGGACTGCTCATGGTTTATTCAATACTAGGACGTTATCTGCGATTTTGCAAGGCGTTTTCACAGTCGGGAGTCAATATATGTTAGCTTTTAGAGTCAATATCATGCAATCTTGCTGCTATTGCTGCTCATTTTGCGTAGCCGCAACCGGTGATGACAAAGAGATGGAGTGGTGACAACAATGCCTTGTTTGAGTGAGGTTGAAATTCGTGGAAAAACAAGCCGAGATGTCACACCAATCGAGATGAACTGTATAATGGAGATGGGATAGAGTCTTTGACTTGTTGTAAGACTATTGCCTCTTATTCAGGCTCATATCCGGGCGTATAGATCTTACTTGTCGGGTTCTAGGTCTCTGACTAAGGTTTATCTATGGCTGATAGAGAACAGTATTCCCCACAGTGTGTCTGTTCCAGTGAAATTGATGCTTGAGAGCTTCTGAGACATATCTAGATGCTATCTCGAGTGTTTTATGGACTTTACTTGGACATAAATGCCGAGGTAAGTTTTATATACGCTCTCAACGGTTGGAAGCATATGAAAAGAAGACATGATGGGTCAGTTCAATTGTGCCTCCTCACTCTATTACATCCCAGACCAAACAATGCGATTATTTGATCAGAAAACTCCCAGCATCATGCACACTCATCATTAGTACTAGCCTTCTAAACCCCCAAAGAATCTATACCATAGGAGAGTCTAATTCTATCATTTTTTTCTCTCTTCCCCCTTCCTATCTTACATCTCATCCCCACTAAACTCCTCCCTAAAAACCTCCTTCACCAGCACCTTCTTATTGATCTTCCCCATCGCATTCCTCGGAATATGATCCACCACCCTCAGCACCTGCGGGATCTTATACCCCGCCAACCTCTCCTTCAACGCCCTCCTCATCTCCAACGGCGACCACTTCCCCTCCTTGCAATGCTCCCTATCCAAAATCACCACCGCGCCCACCTTCTGCCCCCACTTCCCACTCGGCACCGCCAGCACCGCAACCTCGGCCACCTGAGGCAGAGACAACATCTCCCTCTCCACCTCCAACGCCGAAACCTTCTCCCCCCCCGACTTGATAATATCAGCCGACTTCCTCCCCAGAATAAAATACATATCCCCCCTCGCCCACTCCCGTTGAGTCTTCATCTCGCTCCTCCCCGCCTTTTCCGGACCAGGTCTCCTGACGGCAACATCCCCAGTCTTGAACCACGACCCCCTCCCGTCCTTCCCTTCCACAAACTCCTTCTTCGTAGCCTCTTCGTTACGCCAGTACTCTGCAAAAATCGTCGGCCCCCGAAGCTGAATCTCCCCCACCCTCTCCCTTCCCGTCTCGAGGTCCTTTTCCTGCCCCTTTTCAATGACTTGATGCGTGTCAACATCTACCAATCTTGCTTCTACCCCGGGTAAAGGCCACCCGACGGAGCCATCCACCCGATCGTTCGGATCGAGGCCGCAAGAGAGCGCCATGCCTACTTCTGTCATGCCGAAGCGTTCGAGCAAAATGTTCCCCTTGCTCAAGTCCGCCCAGGCACGCTTGATGGGGGTGGGCAGGGCGGCGGAGCCGGAGATTGTCAGGCGGAGGTGGGCAGGGGAGATGGCTTCCCTGGCGGGTTCTTGGAGGTCTTCGGGGAGGGTTTTGAAGCTGGATAGGAGCCGGGAATAAATCGTTGGGACGGCGGTCAAGAATGTGATTTTGGGTTGGTCAGGGGGGGGGGTGGTGGTGAAGGGGGCGGCCAGACGTTTCCATACTGCGTCTGCGTTGAAGGGGTAGAGGAATTCGATGGAGCTGCCAGTGAAGAGGGGGGTGAAGATGGCGTTGATGGTGCCGTGGATGTGGTGGAGGGGGAGGAGGTGCAGCAGGTGGTCGGAGGGGGCGTATTCCCAGGCTTGGATCAGGGAGCGGGCTTGGGCTGTCATGGCGGCTTGGGGGATGAGGACGCCTTTCTGGTAGGGGGGGGGGTGGGGGGGTTAGAAACTTGCGTGGGTGTGTAACTTATCTGGGGTTTGACTTACAGGTCGGTTGGTGGTACCAGAGGTGTACAGCATCATACCGGCGGAACCGGGGCTAGACTTGTCGAGTGTGACCTTTTCGTGGGGGCCTCCACCTTGGAGCTTGTCGAGCTGGAGGAAGGTTGGTTGGACATCCAGCTCTGTCTTGAGAACTTCTTGAGCTTTGGAGGCAAATTTGCCGGTGGCTAACAACATCAATGCCTCGCTGTGGTTCAAGATGTACTGAAGCTCCGAGGCTGGAAAGGCCGGAGACATGGGCACAGCAATGGACTTGGCCCCGAGGATGGCCAGGAGAGTCACTTGGACAACAGAATCAGCCTCGTGAATTTGCCGGTGGGTTGGAAACGTGAAATTGGCTTACCCACATAGTCGTAGCTGTTCTCGGCCAAGAAAGCAATACGCTCACCATCCAGATCCTCCCTCCCGGCGCTCTCATAGAGACGATCCCTGGCCTTGGCTACATCCCCCAACAGCTCACCGTACTGAAAGCGCCGGCCGCTCTTGGAGTGAATAACCACAGTTGACTCCGGGTCATGCCTGGAGATTGCCTCAAAAACGGGCAGCTTGGGCAGCGTCGAAACCATCCTGAGACCTGTAAAAGAAGACGACGACGACGATGATGATATCCTGAAACGGTGTAGTAAAGATGAAGTAGAGACGGGAGCAGGTATTATCCGAACACCAGAGCTCCTGCCGAGTGCGCGGGCAAGGAACATAGGAAAGGAAGAAGAAGGGGGCCGAAGTAGCGGCGGCGGCGCGGGGGAAAAAGGGAGGATCCGGTTTATAAGTTGCCTGCCCGGCCCTGAAACCTGGACTCTGAATCTGCGGTTACTAGCTTCGGATAACGCAGGTCGGTGGAATAGGAAGGAAAAGCAGCCAGGGGCTTGGTCCTCACACACCACCACCAACACCACCACTCACACAAAAGCACACTGCACTGCGGGATGTAGCAACGGCTCGGCTGCCAGGACCGGGAGCTATGCAGCAGTTTCCCCAGCGGCTATCCCGTATCAGAGATTGCCGTATTTTTCTTACAGGGGGCGGTGGCTAAAGTAAGGGTACGCTGAGATACCTAGGTACTGTGTCGGGTGGGTGTGGTGAGATGGAGATTGGAGAGAGGGAGACGGGGCAACGGCGGTCTGGTCTGAAGCCGAGTCCGGCAGTACGCTTCCTACTTCTTTCTCCGGGCAGGCCCGCAGAAACTGTGGAGCAAAAAATGGGAAAGGTCCCGCGGGGCGCTCGGGATGACGAAAGCTTATGCTTGGGCAAAGTCGAAAGCCTCATCAAGGTCGCCGCACGCAAATAGCCCATTCTTGCGCGGCCCTCTATTTCCTCGGTGGAGACCGTGGGGAAACTCCTTTACAGTGTGATAGAGTTGCTTTCCATTGTCTTTGCCGTCCGCTGGAAAATCAGCATCCCACCACCCAAAGCTCATCCCTTGCAGCAGACGGGACAGGGATTAACAGCCTGGGGCCAACTCCCATTGGTCTCCAACGCCGGCGAGGGGCTGCCCCACGTTTGTACCGGCGATTCGATTTCAAGCCTTGGAAATCGACCGACGACAAACACCACACCTCTGATTGGCATTTGGGAAGCCCATCTTGCATATTGTTGTCTTGTTCTCCCCGCAGAACGGCACGTCCACTTCTCGCTCCATGTTGCGCCGAACCGCCTTGAACCACCTGTCGAGAGCCTTTCGCCGGCCGCTTTCCACCATGGCATCGTCAGACACTCCCGTCGAGGATGTGATCCGAGAGAAGGTACATACATACCTACATACATTGGTCGTCGCTCTAAATTTGTCTGGCTGGTTGGTAGTGTGCCGAGCTATTATGGAACGCTGACTTGCTTGTCTTGTCTACTACAACTAGATCTCGGCTGCTCTCCAGCCCACCACCCTCGAGATTCACAACGATTCCCACCTTCACGCCCACCACAAGGCCATGGAAGGTAGCACCTCGAGAGAGACTCATTTCAGGGTAATCATCACCTCCGAGGCATTTCGCTCCAAGATGCAGCCCGCCCGCCACCGCTTGGTCTACTCGCTGCTCAAGGACGAGATGGCCCGAGAAGGCGGTATCCATGCTCTCCAACTACGGACCATGACGCCTGAAGAGGAGGAGAAACGACGTGCTCAGGAGGCTGGAAATCAGTAAACCAGACTTGACTCCAGAAGAGCAAACCGAGAAATGTAAAATAAAAACATGATACCCCCTTTACGACCAATTGCACGAATGTTGATATGAAAAAGGCTTGCCTGACAGCCGGCTTGGTATCTGACATCTACTCCTACAAAGCGGTCATGCTTACACAACAGCTCCGACCTATTTGCCCTTGTTGCGGCGAGGGCCCCATGCTTCTCTCAAGAATGCTGCAAAACACTGTTGCTGTACTGCTTCCTGTTGCTCGGGATCATCGATCGTTTCCCACGGCCTTTTGATACCCTCACCCGATACCCTGTACTCTATATGAGACTTGGGAATTCCAGCAGCTGCTTGTTGAAGAGCGTCCTCTCCACTGTCTTGCAAGGATGGAGATGGCGCACCATCATTCATTGCCTCATTATCCTCCTGTCTGTCAACCGACCCCATGGCATCGTCCTCACGGTCCCAGATAGAATTACCAGACGCTGTTGTTTCCAACGACGGAAAGTTTACCTGCGTCTCAAACCGTACACTCGAAGATGAGAGTCTCGACGCCGTCATATTGACCGGCCGCGTGTTCTGGGTATGAAACTGGCGAGACGAGGCAGAGATAAACCTCGATGCCGGGCCAACAGCCTCTGTAGAGCGACGATGACTCCCACGAGGATGTATCTCGAATGGCCGGTCTTCTGCCGTGGAGATCGGATCAGTTGCCAACTCGGCGATGTGGGTTGAAGATCTCGTGGCAGGATTCAGAGGCATTGGCGGGGAATCCGGAAGATAAATAGGGCTTGAAGCTTGGTTGTGATGTGCGTTATGATGCTGTCCAATCCTCGCTGGTGCGGGCGTCGAGAACGCATTCGATCTTTGAATATGCTGCACCTCAGGTGGCTGAACGCTGGACTGTAGAGGTGTTGTCTGAGCTTCAATCACAGAGACTTTATCGGGGTAGCGACGGCGGACATCCTTTAGTCGGTCGCTAGAAAGAACTCCTTTCATATACACTGGTTGTGGAACATGGACGCAATACCACTCCCAAGTGGTCAGGGGTGTTTGGTCCTCCCTGAGCTGTTCGATGTATTCCAGATAATCGCCCGAGAAAACACGGATGTAGTCGTCTAGAATGTACTGTGGGACCGTCTTCTTTTTCTGAAGAGGTATTAAAGAGAGAATCCCGCGGACAAAGTCACCCAGACTACCATCGTAGTCTGGATAAGTCTCTTTAAAGACGTTATAGGGGTCTTGGGAAGCAGGTACGTTTGGCGGAGGCTTGTCAGAACTCCCGCTTGATCTTGGCAGACCACCGCCACGTAGAATCATGCTGGGAACAGCAGCTGGTTGCATGGCCGGCTGTGCACGTATGACCAGTGGACTGGCTGGCTGTGTACGAATCGCCATCGGACTGGCTGGTACTGAGGAACTGGGTGGTAACGACGAACCGGCTGGTGGTGGAGGGCTGGCTTGTTTTGGCAGAGAGAGAATCGATGGCCGGGTCAGCTGCATGCTAACCTCTGCTGGGTTGAGACTGGCAGCAACATTCTTCATAAGACGCTGTCGCTTTGGCTTGGGTGGCGACACGGTAGCAGACGGCTCGGGATATGTGGATGGTATGACTTGCGCTGAGGGCGGCGTCGGTCCAGGGGGAATAGGGATCCTGGAGGCCTGTGGTTCACCCGGGTGGGCGTCCGTATGGAGCGGAGCTTTGGGGCCTTGAATCTCGGCTTCATCTTCAGAAGAGTCAGAACTGTTGCTAGGTAAAGAAAGTTCCACAACTGCTGCTAGCTGAGGTTCCTTTGTTTGTGGAGGAGCTGGTATAGGTGACGATGGCACGCCGGCAGCAGGTAGACGTCGAGAACTCTGTGAGCTTGCTCTGACATGATCTGATAGTGGAGGTTCCGCTACAGGAGATCGTCGCCGAGTTTCTGTATAGCCAGCTTTGATCTTGTCCAAAATTGCCACTGGAACATGACCCTTATGCCAAGAATCACTCTTATTCAATAGCTCCTCCTGGTCTTTGGGAACCTCAACAAGACGGCGGGGTATTTTTGTGGTTTTGCTGCCAAGCAGGCTGGGGGACCACGTCTGAAAGGGACCGGCCATTGTCCTAAGGGTGCGTAGAGCTGAGGTTGTCAAGAAGTTTCGATAATCATGATTAGAAATTGTGAAACTGTGTACATCCAATAGCAGAACGATGTTGTGTGGTAGTGTTGCAGTAACAATAAGCTTGACAGTTGAACGCGCTAAAGAAAGAAACGCGTCTCAACAATCATCTTCACATTGCGGGCCGTTTGGTTGACACCAACTCACATGAGCTGCCCCACATTCAGCTTCCCCACTTCAGCTAGACCCCTCATCCAAAGAAGAATGCAATATTGCCTGTTCAGCCAGAGACAACCACCGATTGTTAACATCTACAGGCGGGATACACGCTATAATATGTTAAGACCCCCAACAGCGTTATAACCAATATTTTGTCCAGTGACCTGTCCAGTGACGACATGCTCCTCAAGGGTCCTGCAGCAGCCTGACACGGCAACGATCATCCCGCTTCCAGGCTGCATCTCAACCGAACCTCAATCCAACCTCAGCATTGACTGCACTGTGATCTCGTAGTTGTGGTCCGGTCTCGTCAGAGTTTCTTGATTTGATGATGGCATCCAGATGGCTTGATCTCTGGTAGTCGACAACCATCGTTCGTTCCTGCTGTCTGGTTTATTAGTGCAGGTAACGTCGTCCAACGTCATCTGCATTCGCTTCGGCAAGGGTCTCGAATCAACACGGCCCACCTTCCATCATTTCCACCTTTAACCACCACTCAAAGCTGTTACGATTCAAAGCAATCCTCTTTATTTTGTTCCTATAGCAAACGCCATTGTATCGGGCTTTTCGAAGCATGCGATTTGTCTCGGGTCGGCCCAACCGTCCAGTTGTATCACCCTGACCAAAGCCCCTTATCAGTGTGATGGCCAGCCAGAATGGTCTTCGACCCCCCTCTCTAGCTCCGCCCGGCCCTACGTCTCCAACCGCCACCCGAAGTCGCCGCGGCTCTCTGGTTTCTCCTACTTTTTCTACGTATGCCGAAAGAGAACAGCTCTCACTCGCCCTCGACAAGATCCATACCTCAGCCAGTCAGTCGGATGTCCTCACCACATTCAATGATTTCGCACCTCCCCCAAGTAGCCTTCCGGCTTCGGAAAAGCAAGGAACTGCTGGCGAGATTGTACAGCAAGGGTTGAGCGGCTTATACAGCAGGATAAAGGAGGCTGTCAGTGGCGTAAGCAAGAATTCTGCTCAGGAGGTGGACGATGCCGACAGCCATGATGGGGCTTCCAGGAGAAGCTTGAACCTTGTGCCGAGGGGGGACGGTGGCATAACAAATGCAACCTTCAACTCTGCCGTCTCCTCTGATGCTGGGGTATCTGGCTTGTCTTCTTCAGGCTTGGCTACAGCAACAGCCGACTCTTCGTCACCGGCTGTACAATCATCCAAGGCCTCCTCCATAACGACGGCATCAACTTCAAAACACTTGCCTCCGGGTGCCCAGAACCTTCCAAAAATCTCCGTGGCTGCCACATCCACAAATACCCCTGCCATTCCGGTGGTATCAACGGGTTTCGCCGAAAGTGATACTGTCCGTGGTACAACGACCCGTGAAGAGTTGCCCAGTCGCGGATCAGGACGGGGCAGTATAAGTAGGCTAAGCGAAGTGGGAAACAGCACGCTCCTGACTGGGAATGGAAGTTTGGACAGCGTGGCGACCACTGACAGAATCATGGTTCCGGGGCGAACGAGGAGAGAAGATGCTCCGAGTCTTGATGGCAGCGCAGATGCTCCCCGTAGCCCGATACAAACGACGGCGGAGGCTCGTTCGTCATCCCTTAGCAGGGCCACCCCACCTGACACGATGAGACGGCCAGCAGTGATTGACCGGATCACCTTTACAAAGGGCAGTAACCATTCAAGGTCATCTTCCATGGAGCCCGGGACTGCTGAAGCTAGCCCTATCAGCACCTCAGCTCACAGCACGGTGTACCACGATTCCTTTAGACATAACGAGAGACCCCAGAGACTTCAGTCAGGTGTCATGAGGATACCCGGGACGACTGCCAACGAGGGTGCCCCTGAAATGGTTAATGCGAGGTTGGAGCGAATGCGAAAGCAGGTCCTAAGTAAGGAGTTTTGGATGGCCGACGAGACTTGCAAAGAGTGCTTTTTGTGTGGGACTCCTTTCACTGCCTTCCGAAGAAAACACCATTGTCGGACATGCGGGTGCATTTTTGATTCCAAGTGCACGTCCAACATCTCTGGAGCAAAGTTCGGCGTCCAGGGCTCTCTGAGAGTTTGCAAGACGTGTCTCAATGTTATCAATCGTCGGTACGACAGTGGTTCAGATGATTCAGCAGACGAATCCTATCTCCCAGCTATCTTTCGAGCCAACCAGCCAAAGTCCGTGCCCACAGCTCTCAAACAAAAAGAAGGCGACGAGGCAAGCATCATGGAAAGAACCGAGCAGGCCGACCACACCCGAAGTGCGACCACACCCATGATGGCAATTCCAGCAACCAGGCGTGTCGGGGACAGCAATAGGAATTCTGCCATTTTAGAAATCGACATGCCTCAGCTGAGTCGGCCAAGCTCATCGCGGTCGCTCAAGTCATTGTCAACTAGTCGTCCACAATCATCGGGCCATCGCAGGCACCACTCCAAGCACAATTTCTTGACTAGGCTCAAGGGGGCTCCTGATGAGAGGGCGCCGTTTCGCAAACCAGCCGGGGACGACCCGGGAACCAAGTCAAACGCCAATGCCTTTCATGCCGACAACATTATCGACCCGGAGCTGGCCGACTACATGTCTGATGAGTCGAGTGAGGACGAGCAACAAATGGGCAGCATTTTTGCCACCATGAACAGCAGCGACTTCCAACCCGCCAGCCTTGACCCCGATCGATCAAGTTTCGGCACTTATCTGGGAGCAGGCAGGAAACACCGGTTCCGTCATGGCGAGAAGAATACCAGCGGTCTCAGCTATACCAGCCGCGGTTTTGATGAGGGTGTCGGCGGTGCTGGCGGTAGCAGCGGAGGTGGTTTGCAGAATTTATCGATCCATGCACGACCACCCCGAAGGAGGAATATGAGCATCGCAAGCATCAGCGCCCATCATTTGCGATCACCACGACCCAAGTCAGCCATCATCAAAGGCAACTCTGCCTCGACCGACGCCCTGTCTATCTTTGAGAGCGGCGTTGAAAATTCAGGGTCAAAGCGGAATGATGCAACACGCGAGGGCAAGCTTCCCGAGGAGGGTCTCAACCCGGCGAGCCTGCAGCATGTAAAGAAGCTCTTCCGGCAAATGCTGGATGATGCTGAGATTCCCAACCCGAGCAGCTGGGAGCGGGCTCTTATCCCTATTCTCGACAAATGTGCCGATGATGTCGACCCCGATATCCGCAACGGGGACGACATGGATATTCGGCATTGGGTCAAGCTCAAGAAGATCCCAGGGGGCAGGCCAAGTGACACAGCCTACGTTCACGGAGTTGTCTTTACCAAGAATCTTGCACTCAAGAGCATGCCCCGCAGGATCCGCAATCCCCGGGTCGTCGTCATCACCTTCCCACTCGAGTATCAGCGCCATCCAGAGCAGCACTTTATGAGTTTGCAGCCCGTTATTGAGCAAGAAAAGGAGTATCTGAGAATGGTCGTGAACCGGATTCTCTGCCTTGAACCGCATGTGCTGCTGGTGGAAAAGAGTGTTGCCGGAGTGGCTTTACAGTACCTGTCGGAAGCCAACGTCGCTGTTGCTTACAACGTCAAACCAACCGTTATTGAAGCTGTCTCGAGAATCGTCAACATGCCCGTTATTTCATCCATGGACATGCTTAGTCTTGGCGCTCGGGTGGGCACCTGCGAGAGTTTTGAGGTCAAGACATATGTCAATCATGGGATAAAGGGCAAGAAGAAGACGTACATATTTCTTTCAGGGTGTCCCAAGGACCGCGGCTGTACCATTGCCCTGCGTGGGGCTTCCACTCCGATACTGTCACGCATGAAGCGCATCACCGAGTTCATGGTCTATGTGGTCTACAACCTAAAGCTGGAATCATGCTTGATGCGCGACGAGTTTGTCCAGATCCCAACTGAGATAGAGTCTGTCTTGACTTCCACTCTCACGTCACGGCAACCCACCGACGACAGTCTTCTGATCTCTCCTGGGTGTGTCCCCGATCCCACCAGTCAGCGCCCTGCTATTTTGATTACATCACAAAGCACCGAGGGAGAGAAACTGGTGGAACAGGCTCGGGTCAATGAGGACTCTCCTGCCGAGCAGGAGCTGGCTGCAAACACAACCAGCACCGGGTCAGAGACTCAGCCGTCGGCGGATGCCGCTCAAAAACTCATATCATTACACGAGTCTCACTCGCATGTCCAAGTGCCAGAGGATGTACCAATGCCGACCTTTTACAGTGATATGGTGGCAAAGTACGAAACTCGAATCCTTTCAGCGTCGCCGTTTGTCAAGTTTACACAGCCCTACCTTCTCATGAAGGCGCGCGAGCAAGAAAGGCGGTTGGTCTACCTGCGCCGTCTTCGCGACCAAAACATTGTCGAAGATCCCGAAGAGAGCGAGAAGCCCCGACCACTACGGTTCCAGCTCATCAAGCCAGAGATGGTGCACGAGATTGGCCAAAAAGCCCCTCGAAAAGTAATGGAGGTCCTGCATGCAGTCCATGATGTCGAGTATGACAAGGCTCTGCACAACTACCAGACGCAATCCAGACAATGGGAAACATATATCCAGGACAGTCTCGATCTCTTCGATCCCTATTCTCATCAGAACATCGTAGTGCTCTATTCGGTCACTTGCACAGAAACCAAGATACCGTGCGTGGAGCCTGGCCTCGTCGCCATCGAGTTCTATAATGAGCATCCTGATGCCAACGGCAACATGGATCAAGATTGCACCCTGGGCCAGTACATCGAGGACATTTGCGAAGGCTCTGATATGGTGTGTCACGCCAACGGCTGTGATAGAAAGATGCTTGATCATCACCGCACCTATGTCCATGACAACGCTCGTATCACCATCATTCTTGAGAACTCGCCGGCTTGGCCCGAAAACTTTCCGGAGAAACCCCAAGAGTCTGAGGGCGACAAGGATGGGACCGGCATATGCATGTGGAATTACTGCAAAGAGTGCAACAAGCATTTCGGTCTCATGCCCATGTCTGTCAGCACCTGGAAGTATTCTTTTGGCAAATACCTGGAGCTCTCGTTCTGGAGCAGATGCGTCCGCTCGAGCCTGCAGAATGAGTGCCCCCATGACCACCAAAAGGACCACGTTCGGTTCTTCTACTACCTGTATCGCGACATTGCTGTGAGAATTCACTACGACCCCATCGATCTGTTCGAGATCATTGTGCCACGGCCAAGGATCACATGGAAGGTGGATCACGATTTGCGGCTCAAGAATGATATCTTCACCAAGGCCGAGGAGCGTTGGGTTCGGTTCATGACTTCGGTCCGGGCTCGACTCAAGAGCATTCGAATTGACAGTGTGCTTCCGGAGAAAGCGGAAGCCTGCACAGCAGAGATCGAGAGGCTGACCAAGAAGGCCCACGAAGATCAGGCAGAGTTGGTCCGGAGTCTCCAGGAGACATACATGAGCTCCAAGTACTACGAAGTCATTCCCTTCAACATTGTTATCCGCGGAATGCTGGAGAAGGTGACGGATTGGGATGCAGCATTCACCAAATTCGAAGCCGACTTCCTTTCCGACAAGGATGTCCGACAACTGACCATCATTCAACTCAAGAAGATGTTCACAGACAATGAGTCAAAAGAGTCCCTTCCGAGTACTGACGGCACCACGTCTGTTGGCTCGGAATCCGAGGAAAAATCTACTCCCACTGCGTCCCAGCCCAGTAGTTCGGAGTTTGAAGAAAAGCCCACACAGAATGCCGAGGGTGAGAGCCGGACACCGGAAACCCCTGTATCGCCGACCTCGAGACTAGTCGCAACTGCAACGGAAGAAGCAGCTGCCAGCCAAGCTGATGAGCTTCTCGAGAGGGTCGAGCCTTTGGACCTCGCGACGCCTACTTCACCGACGTTGGTGAAGAGTATCCTAACCGGTTCGGAGCTTGCCCCCGATGTCACCAAGCAGTCGCCATCTCCACCAAGTGAGGAGATACCAGCAGCAACGCCTGAAGCAAATTCTCTGATGCCGCCTCCGGCAACTCCTGCTGCACCGGCTGCGTCTCCCCAGCCTGCAGAGCCTCAACATATGTCATTGACAGAAAAGGTCGAGCAGCTACGTCGCGAACAGCGTGCCGCATCAACTGATGCGACCGGCACAGGCTTTGTTGGTGAAGGTGGTGCAGAATCATCACGACCTACAGGAGACCGTGCTATCTCGAGAAAGACAGGTCAAGCGGTATCACCCCCAATGGTTCGCGCTTTATCCCAGCCGGTAGGGGCACTTCCCAGGACACAGTCTACTATCGGAAAGCTATTGAAGGAGCAAAAGGCGCAGGATGCGGCTTCCGAGGGACAGAAGGCCGTGCCTGAGAAAGCGGAGAAGAAGTTCACTGATCGCATTGGACTCGGGGCTCTGAAGAATCGAAAGGCCCCGCCGTCGGCAATTCCGCGTTATGTTCATAAGAGGGAATCCAAGGTGTCGACGCTTGCGCGCCATTTTGAGCAACTAAGCCGTGAGTTTGAAAAGGAGCGGATGCGGGATCGCAAGCAACGGGCAGCAAAGATGCAGTCTACGAGAGCCTTCCTTCCACGTACGTCCACCAAGACTATAGTCGAAGTCTACAAGGACGTGGACCAAGCCGTCAAAGAGCCTGGCCCCGACGAGGAGCAGCACATGGAGAAGCATCACAGCAATAGGAAACATGATGACTCTTCTCAGCCAGCTGCTGATACCACGCCGGAAGACTCACAGAACAAGGCGTCTGAACCAAGCTCGCCACTTGCACCACCCTCTGGGCCACTTACCCAAGAGGAAACCCGAAACGAAGCAGATGGCGATGATGCTCGACACGAAGATCATGCGGGATCTGATGATGAGGGTGCAGGCAGCGACGCGGATGCTTCCACCATCACGTTCGACGAGTTCATGCCTGACGCTAAAGAGATTGCCAGCTCTCTCGAACCCGGTGATGAGATCCCAGAAGAGCTCCCAAGACATCAGAAGAAGAGTCTGATGACCATGTTGACTAATTTCTGGGCTGAACGTTCGGCTAGCAATTGGACACCACTGGAGTATCCCATCAACGCGACAGATCACATCTTCTTTGATTCGGATGTCATTGTGAGGGAGGATGAGCCCAGCTCGTTGTTGGCTTTTGCTCTCAACTCTGAAGATTACAAGACAAAGCTTGCCGAGATTCGTCAGCGGTGGGAGATGTCCAACCAGCGAGAAACAGATGAAAGCAGTGACGGCCTTGAAATGAAGCAGCAGCCATCTACAGGTCTGTCCAAGGCCGAGCTGGAAAACAGTCTACTGCGGTCTACCGGTACGCATCTCAAGTACCAGTTCGCAGAGGGCTCAGCAAAGATGATGTGCAAGATTTTCTTTGCCGAACAATTCGACGCCCTCCGTCGCAAAGTCGGTGCTGCTGACCGCTTCGCCGAGTCTCTGTCTCGCTGCCTCAAGTGGGATTCCAAAGGCGGCAAGACAAAGTCTGTCTTTCTCAAGACGCTCGACGACCGGTTTGTCCTCAAGGGTCTGTCGCCTGTCGAGACGTCTTCGTTCCTCAAGTTCGCCCCGGACTACTTTGACCTGATGGCGCATGCCCTCTTCCACGATCTACCTTCTGTCATTGCAAAGATGCTCGGCTTCTTCCAGATCATCATCCGCAACCCCGTCACCAACACGGAAATCAAGCTCGACCTGCTCGTCATGGAGAATCTGTTTTATGACCGGTCACCGACAAGAACGTTTGACCTCAAGGGGTCGATGCGCAACCGGAGGATCCAGTCGACGGGGGAACAAAACGAGGTGTTGCTAGACGAGAACATGGTGGAGTACATTTATGAATCTCCCCTATTTGCCCGGGAGCATTCAAAGAGGTTGTTGAAGACGTCGGTTTTTAATGATACGCTGTTTTTGGCGAGGATGGGCGTGATGGATTACAGCCTGATGGTGGCGGTGGATGAGGTGAAGAAGGAGCTGGTGGTGGGGATTATTGACTGCATCCGGACGTATACGTGGGACAAGCAGCTGGAGAGCTGGATCAAGAATAGGGGTTTTGCGGGCGGGGGGAGGAACAGGCCGACGGTGACGAGCCCGAAGGAGTATAAGAGTCGGTTTAGGGAGGCTATGGCCAGGTATTTCGAACTCCGCATTGAGTTTGGAAAGATGTGATGCTGACGTGATAATGTGATAGGTATATCCTACAAGCTCCCAACTGCTGGCACACGTTTGGGAATCATTTGCCGCCTAATACGCCTGCTACGCCGAGGACGAGGTTTGAGGCGGATGTTTGAGGGGGTTTCATTTGCTTTGTTTTGTTTTGTTTTGTTTTTGTTTTGTTGTGCTATAACGGGAGGATTATTAGTGGTGAGATATCTGGTGGGAGTTGTCTTGTTGTTTTGGCACACACGAAGTGGAATCATAGCATGGAATTATTTGGAATTTTTTTTGGCTGCATAGCACGGGCGGTGGTGGCGGCAGCGGGTAAACGATTTTTTTTTGATGGTCATATATATATAGGTACTGCATTCTGTCTTTTTTTTTTTTTCGTTTGTTTGGCAGTTGGGGAGGGTGCGTGGGGGTTTATGTCATGCATAGCGAGCGGGTGGTTGTGGTAGTCAGGGGGTAAATTGAAGAGAATACATGTACACTCAGGCAATGCTTTCTATATGTCAAGGTGAACCAGTGGGAGGAAATGAGAGGTTTACACTTATTCCACTACTAAATAATATTTTTACCTTTGAAGTCGATGTGTAAACACCAACAACACTGAACAAGTCTATACAATTATCATTGCATTTTGTTAGCTCTTGATATAGTTATTTTCCTCCTTCTTTTTTAGCCTCTCCTAAAACCAACCTCGAAGCCAGCCAGCCAGCCCTCTTTCATCGCTTGCTTCTCCTCCCCTTTAGGTAACTCCTGCTACTAACCCCCCCCCCCCCCTCTCCTTTGCAGCTCAAACACTACACAACAAAGTCATTAAGAAATAGTCCGTTTTGTGCCTCCCCTCTTCCATTAACACGGACTAATCTCACGAAACCTCAAATCGACAATTCACTTTTTTCTGGAATATTCCCCCCCAACCTGTTTTGATCTCCCTTCCCCCCCTATTTCGGCCCAGCAACTCCCCCCTGACTCAACCTCTGAAACCCCATCAACACCTCCCGATCAACATTAACCGCCCACTGCTGCTCAAACACCCTCTCTCCACCCAGCCTCTGCACCAAATCCTGCAACCTCACCTTGACAAACCCGTACGTCGCCACCGAGTGCACCGGGTCCTTGTGCGCAAACGTCCTCTCGTGAATATCCAGCGGAGTATCATACTCAAAGCTCGGCATCTCCCCCCAGACGAGGCTATCCTGCGGCCCCTCGGCCCCCCCTTGTTGCTCGGCAGTATCATCCGCCAGTTCCGTCACGATGTGCGTCCACATGGACAGATAATCCTGCAGCTTCCCCAACACGAGCTCCTGCACCGGCGAGGGCAGTTCCACCAGTCTTGTCAGGGCCAGGCAAGAGAGCTTCTCACGTTCGACATCGCCCATGGTGTCAAAGTTGGCGAACCACTGGGTCATCAACCAGGAGAGAACGGTATCGATCGGTCCGCCGTTTGTGAACCGCGACAACAGGTTGATAAACACTATCGGGTCGGCGACGCACACCCGGGCAAAGAGGGCGTAATAGTCCGATTCTTTGAGTGTGCTGATTTTGGAGGGTTTCCGGTTGGGCCCAGTGGTCTGGGAGGATTCCCAGGCGCTGTGGAGGCCTTCGAGCATTGTGTGGACAAGGCCAGTCTCAAGAAGGTCTTGGACAATAACTGTTACTCCTTGAGACCCGCCGAATTCTTCAGAGAACCGGATCATGAGTTCGATCGACTTGGCGCCGAGCTGAGCTTGGTCGAGGCTGTTGGCGTCGACGGTTTTGGCGAGGGCCGCGAGGGCAGGGCGGCGGAGGGCGTCGCTGAGGAGGTCTTGTGGTGCGAGAGAGATGTACGATTTCACAATCTCGAGGCACTGGTTCGAGACGGCGGAGTCGTATTCTAGGAGGGGGAGGGCCAGCTGGACCATCTGGGTGAGCTCAGGATTCAGTGGTGGGACGCTCTGCATCAGCAATGACCTCCAGAGCTCCACCGACTCTTCAATAAGGTGAAGATGCAGTGGCGAGTCGGGGTTCATCGCCTCTGCCAGGAGTGGCAGGATCAGTGGTTGATATCGCTGCGAGTCGGCCCGCATCGACATGACGAGAGCTGTCATGATGGCAAGCACCGACTGCTTGATCATGTACTCTTCACTTCCGACCGACTCCCACAACTTGGGGAGTGTCATCATGATGGTATCTCCAAACTGCGAGACATGTTCCTCCATCCTGCTGACGATCAACCTGATCGTGTCCAAAACCGCCAGTTTTGTCTCGTCGCTCTCTACCGTTGAGAGCAAGCCGATCAAAAGCTCGAAGAAATCCGGCGCATATTGCAGGAAGGGTTCAGACTTGAACTCAAAGTCATCGGCGATATACTTGAACTGACGCGCAGCCGTAATGCGCACCACCTCATCATTGTGATCGTCAGCTGGGTTCAGCAAGTGGCGATAGATCTCAAACACCACTTTTCTGTTCGCTTCGGAAATCTTGATGGTGATCCACTGGCTTAGCAAAATAGCAATCCGCCGGCGGAGCAGCTTGGCCATCGTGTCCTGTACCTGAGCATCCTTGACGAGCGTTGTGGTCAGGAAGCGATCAAAGTCAAAGTTGTGGTGTACAACGGCAGCAGCACACCCAAGAGCACAGTAAGCGGCCTCTTTCGTGACAATGTCCATGTCGACTTTGGTGGCGAGCTCACAATAGCTGAGAAGCGGCTGACCCAACTCCCTATAGTGTGTCAACAGGTCTATCAGCAACCTCTCAGCGCATGGGCGGATAGCCCACTCGTAGGCCTGGCCCTCTGTGCGTTCCTGAGCTTCCCATTCCTCCGGGCTCTCTTCCCAGGCATCGAGATCTGACTTGCGGAAGATAAACAGCTTGCTGATGATCACCTGAACAATATCCAGAAGCAAGTCCCTGTTCAGCAATTCGACCTTGATAACGTGAATTGCTTGTGTTTCCAGCTCCTTCATTTCTGGGGTCTGGAACTTGAACGTCTGAGCCGGTCGGTAGGCGATCCCAATACAACTCCTCAGCAACAAGAGTCCCTTGAGAGCCAACTTTTCCGCCAACGGCCCCTCGTGCTTGGTATTCCCTGTTGTGCTCTCTGTCTGCTTGATCCCACCAGACTTCTCAAACACCTGCGAGAAGTCCTTCACAAGATTCCAATAGGCTCTAACTAACGGAATCGAGTTTGGAAGAATCGGGAAGCTGCAGGGATGCAAATTCGCCATATCGATGTGTAGTTTGGTAAACTGGATGAGATGCTTGCCGACGAGATCTTGGTACGGTATCGGGATCCACGATTCGTGACTGACACCGTGGAGGAATTGATCGAACTGTGTCTGTGATAGAGACCACAGCCCCTGAACCATGCTGTCCTTGTGCGGCTCCTTGTATCCAACTGTGACCAACCGCCTCAAGATCTTGAGTGCTATCAAGCTGTTTTGCATGGCATAGTCGGCGTCATCTTCGTCTCCCCGTCCTTTCATGAGGAACTCCTGCCAATAAGCCGTCTTCTCGGTGTAAATCTCTCCCAGAAGCTGGACCAGGTCCGGTGTGACCTTCTGAAGAGCGGTCTGTGACCTCGCCAACCGCGCCGTGCTGAGCTCTTTGACTATCCGGAGCATAACCAACAGGGCACCGCCGAGGTGCATGGGGTTCCCACCCCGGGCCGTTCGGGTAACGTTGATGATATTGGCGATGGCATCGGGCCAGCTATCGGGGTAATCTATCCTCACGATCTTGGCGGTAACCAGGGCGTTGTGCAGTGCGAGCTGTCTGTCCTCCTCGTCCACCGAACCTTGCAGAAGCCGAGAGCGTATGAGCTCTTTTTGTGGTGGTGGAATGGCATGTTTCGCTCTGGGTCGCCAATACTTGTCGATGCCGTTTTTGAGCACGATGATGGCGAGCCATCGAACCTCTCTTCGTAGTGACTTGTCGAGGAATATGGTCTGTTGTCAAACAAGTCCGTCAGCAACTGCAGTAGATATGTGAGGAACAGCAAGTTCCCTCCACCTACCTGAAGAGTAACATAGTAGTCGGGATGCGACTCCCAAGCCTGTATCTGCTGGCCAGCAGACTGTCTCTGGGCTTGGTCGGTGGAGATGGATGCAGCTTCGAGGGTTCTGCAGAGCTCGACGGGTGTGAAGGGCGTAGCTTCGCCCGGGACTTCGATCGCGAAACTCATCGTTCTTCTGGTCTGCTCGATCGTTGGTATGTTTTGCGATTTTGGAATCGAAGAGAACCGTTCAAGGTGCCTGGGCAGGTCGAAGCTTGGTGGGGGTGAACAGCCTAAAGATAGGTAGCGGGGCATAAAATCAAGTGGAGCTGTTCCGACAGGGGGGTCCTTCAACGTCGTCACGGCAGACAGGGGTATTTTTGTTCATAAACTTTTTAATGACAATCAAAGCTTCGAAATCAGTCGAAAAGATTAGACAACTCTATCAACCATCCTTCAATGCCCATCTCAGTGATCTTTGGTTTTGTTTCTCTGCCACTGCTTATCACTCAGAACCCCAAAATGACTGGATACCAAACACGGCCTCCATTCGGCTGACACGAACACCAAATGCTGCTTGTTTATTATTTGTCCTTCCTTCCCTCCCCCCTCATTGATACCACACCATCACCCCCCCCCCCCTTTACTCCCTCGACTGGACGGTCAGACCCAAGAAGTAGCACAAGAAACAAAGCTGTGAGAGCGTTCCACCAAGCCGATCGGCCATTGCCGAAAGTATCATGCTCTCGAAGTCTTCTTTCTCCCAGTCTGAGACAGAGAGAAAAGAGAAACAGGACCCGACCCGACAGACAGCTGCCTGCCGAGACCACCACACACGACAGATGTACGTTTATTTGTCACACAATGCAATCCCCGCAAAAGATCCCTCGTCCTCATAAAACTTCCTGCGCCCAGTTCCATCCATGTTGAAGCGGTACACCGCTCCACCCCTGTATCGTGTGTGTTATCAAAGCGGTCAGCTTGCTGAACGGCCAGTGAGGTCATGAGAGAATGGGAGAGAAGGTTGACTCACAAGTCTGTAGCGTATATGTGTCGATTCTTCCTGTCAAGAGTGATGCCGATAGCCTCGTGCAGGTTTCTGGCTAGGATCTTGTGGTCGGTATACTGGCCATCAGGGCCCCTTTCAGCCCTGTTCAAGCTGTTGCCGCGAGGAAGCTCCCCTCTGTCAGTCCAGTACATGAACTTGCCTTCCTCATCGATCTCGATATCGATAGGCTCCGGCAGGCCCCGGAACAGACATTCGATGTCGGTCCTCGTAGAAGCATCATGCCCAGGAGGTGTATGTATGTTCGCCCTGAAAATGCGCCCCTTGGATCCCTTGGACGGACCCTTTTGCGTCCAGTAAAACTTCCCTTCCAATGGGGCAAGCCCGAGGCCCACGCACCACTTCGTCTGGTCGTCAAAGCCGGTCGCCCAGTCCCCGTTGCGGATGAGGACTTCCAGTCCAGAGCCATCAATGTTACATCGGAAGACGCGCATGCCTTCGCGGTCGGAAAAGTACATCTTGGAGCAGTCGTCGTCAACAGCAATCTGCTTGGGCGTGTGTACCGTGCCGGAGGGGATGATGACCTTGATGTCGCTACCGTCCAAGTTGCACGACATGATGCTGCCGTCGTTTTTGTTAGGCACACCCATGTTGCCCCAGATAATCTTACCTTCTGATGGGCAGAGAGCGATCCCGTCTGGCATGGGCTGGTGGTCCACTATGGTGCGGAGAGGGGTTTGGCCATCCGCGCTGCCCACGAGGATACGGCCACGTTGGTACACCTCCTCTGGCGCGTTGTTGAGGCCAAGGTCGAGGATGTACAAGGTCGGAGCGTGCAGGTTGTCGTAGGGGGTTTGCTGTTGGCCAGCAGTCTTGGTGGTATAACCTGGTGGGTACAGACCGCCCTTGCTGCACTTGGCCCCGAGCCTGCCCTCCTGGATGTACTTTTGGAGGAAGGCTATGACGCCTGGGTCGTGGAGATTACGCTCCTGGATGTAGTGCTGCTCGATGAGTGACACAGTGTCCAAGCCTACTGAGTCCATCAGCTCGCATGGGGGAACACCGGTCTTGACAAACATCTCATTCCACACCATGTCGAGCTCTGCTGGTGAGGCTACCCCCTCGGATAGCACCATCAAACATTCTCGCTTGATAGCGGCCCAGACGCGGTTGAGAAGAAAGCCCGTAGACTCTCGGTGTGCCATGACTGGAAGCATGCCAGACCGTTTGAGGTGCTCTTCGAGAAAAGGAAAAATGTCCTCGTGCGTTGATCCGCTGGTCATGAGCTCGACAACGCGTATGTCGGGCGGGATGTAGTAATGCATATTCAGCATGCGCTTGGCCGTGTCAGGCTTCACTTTGGCCGCAATCTCCCGCGACTTGTAGGACGACGAGTTGGTTCCCAGTATCGTATCGGGTCGGACAACCTTTTCGAGGTCGGCAAAGGCGTTCATCTTTAGGTCGAGCTTCTCAGGCACGCATTCGATAACCAGCCACGAGTCCTCCACGGCAGGCTTCAGGTCCTGGAAACCATGAACGGAAATCTTGTCGGGGCTGACGGTGGGCTTGTACCTCCACATCTCGTTTTTGATGTACTGTAGAGCTCCATTGGTTTGCTGCGTGTCGGGATCGCGAATGTTGACCTTGTATCCGGCAGAGGCCCAGCAGGCTCCTATCCGGCGGCCTAGCACACCAGCTCCCAGGATGCCGACAGATCTGTTGATCGCCGTGGGGAGTTTCCACTTCGTCATGGTGGCCTCTTCAGTATCGGTTTCCATGAACCCACCACCAGCAAAGAGAAGATAAGAAGTTGTATGTATTGACCGTGAAGATGATCTGGACAGCACAGCTCAAGACATCTCCCAAACCCCTTTTCTCCCACCTAGCTTACCAGTTCTGGTCCAAACTCTAACATACCTATTTTCAACGGAGACCATCCCGGTGCTCTTCCAGGTCATACTGGTATGCTATGCAGCTGCATTGCTCGGCCATTGCGTCAGCAACGGAGCAGAACATTGGTACAGACCGAGTCATGGGTGAAAAGGGGTAGCATTACGGCTGAATAGATGGCTGGTGTTTGATTGTTACATAATCTCACTCATTCCCAGAAAAGTCAAGAGGATGAATAGATGTCAAGAGGTGAAGTTGAAGCTGGACATCGAACCCTGGAAATCAACATTGAATCCATACCCCCTTGCAAGGATCCCCACAGTGTGATTCGCGGGGAAGGACGAAAACAAGTGGGCCGTGCCGCAACGCGCCAAGCCCGCATCCCTGAACCGTTCCGTCAGCTGCAACAGCTGCTGTCCGGATTCCAACCTCGGCTCTCTGAGTGCATCGACCGACCGCCCGGACCGACAGAAGCCATTCATTATCATGGGCGCATAGGGGGAAATGTGAAAGGAGCACCTTACGATATGCGTTTCCACCCAATAAACAAACGCCCATCTTCACTCAGCCTCGTTCAAACACCAATGCGATGAGCGATTCCAAGCCCCCCAAAGACAGCAGCAGCCCCAGCGCAGCGGTCCCGGATGTCGCTGCTGCTGCTGCATCATCAACACCAACACCAGCACCAGTGGCAATAACACCCCCTTCCAACCCCCAATCAGCCCACTCCTTCGCCCAAGCCCAGCAACGCCTCATTGCCCGCCGACAAACCCGCGATGCTCAAGAAGCAGCCCGAGTAGCAGCCCAACAATCTGAATCCCAACTCCGCGCACGCATCGCCGCCTCCCAATCCCCTCTCCTCCGACGGCTCGGCGCGTCGACACTTTCACTGTGGGATACCATCTCCAGCCGGGAGGGCACTCGCCCAGCCTTCCGCGTCGGCCAAGTAGACGCCGAACTCCTCGATGAGGAACTGGTCGAGCTGATGAAAGGACAAGTAGGGGAGGCGGTTCGGTACTACGGTGGTGGGGGAGGAGGAGACAACAATATCAAACATGAGTGGGACGCCGAGATATCGCTTGCCCTGAGGGCCGTGATATTCAAGCTTACCATTTGGGATCATGACGCGACGTATGGTGCTGCGCTGCAGAATTTGAAATACACAGACGCCAGACACACGGGGAGTGTCTTGGTGCCGCCGAGCAAGTGGCAGAAGGGGTTGTATGGGTTGATGACGGTGGGAGGGAGGTACATGTGGTCAAAGTGGGAGAACTGGCTTAGGGAGCAGGATGGTGGTTATGATGAGCCGAGCCCGACGGTGCAGCGGCTCTCGAGCATGACGGACAGACTGTCGACGCTTCACGCCGCCGCTTCGTTTGCGTCGTTCTTAGTCTTCTTGTTACAAGGCCGCTACAGGACGCTTTTGGACCGGGTACTGCGCATGAGGCTCGCTCCGCCTACCAGCCAGGTTAGCCGCGAGGTGTCGTTTGAGTATCTCAACCGCCAGCTGGTGTGGCACGCCTTCACCGAGTTTTTGCTGTTCGTGCTGCCGCTGGTGGGAATCAACCGCTGGAGGCGCTGGCTGGCACGGACGTGGCGGAAAACCAAAAAGATTATGAGCACAACAGGTGGTGAAGGCGCCGAGGAGAAGAAGGGTGAATTTGCCTTCTTGCCAGAACGGACATGCGCCATCTGCTACCAGGATCAGAACCAGGCAACAAACGAGAACGAGCTCATGGCTGCGGCTACTTCCAAGACTGGTGTGGTCGGATCGGCGCAGACTGATGTCACGAACCCTTACGAAACCATCCCATGTGGATGCGTCTACTGCTTTGTATGCTTGGCGACAAGAATCGAAAGGGAGGAAGGGGAAGGTTGGAACTGCTTGCGGTGCGGCGAGCTCGTCAAGGAGTGCAAGCCATGGAGTGGAGATGTGTTGGAGCACGAGTCAAAATCACCAGCTCAGAAGACGGTTGTGTTTGCAGATGATGTCAAGGATGCCTCCGACGATGAGCAGGAGAACTCGCAGGTCTTGGTCCAGCAAGAGGATGACGATGAATACCCAGAAGAGGAAGGTGAAGAGGGGGGGGAGGAGGAGGAGGAGGAGGAAGAGGGAAGTAGAAGTCTGGAAGACCTTCGGACAGAGTCAGCTAGCGAAGAATCCTCAGAACAGGAGGCTGACTCTGAGGGTGACGAATCGGAAGACTATGAGGCGGAGGAGGAAGAGTTAGGAGCGGATCTTGATGAGGACTAGTATTGTAGTAAGCATAGCGTGTGTGTTGTAAATAATGATGATACCTTAAGTATGCAAGTGCTAAGTTGTGAACATGATAGATCAAAAACGTTTGCGGTGGAGGAAAGAAGAAGAAAAAAGTATGGTTACCAAAAAGAATCGAATCTGGGTGTCCAGAGGTTTCCAAAGATTAGAATGGGAGCATTGTAGGCCAACTCACGGTCACATCCGGTAAAAGGCAGGAAATGAGTGCGTTGCTGAGCTGGCCTGCTCCGACAATCACCGCTAGAAAGTGGGCTTATAACCCAACTGATGCTTTGCTGGCCGTGCTTTCCTTTCCTTGAGACGTGGTGCCCTCACCGACAACCGTTGACCTCATCATCAGCAGTGGCTTTCTCCACACGACTCGACCCCCACAGCAGTTGGGGAATCCCCGCAATTGGTGCAGCATTGCCTGCCCGGAAGCGAGGAAACAGGGGGTCTGCGGTAGATAACAAGCATCCCTGCCACATCTGGGCCGCGATAAGCACCACCACAGCCAACAGCCAGCGACCCAGGATTGGACCCCGAATCTCGCGTGACACAGGGCCAAAATCAACCAACAATTCATATGTAAAACAACAGAGGGCTGTGGTGACGGCATTCTATGGCCAAAAATACAATCCTCCAAGGTGCTACCACTCGACGCGGGCGCGCTCGTTTTTCTGTTTCTAGACACCAAAAACGCTGCGACATCGCAAATCTGCACCCAAGAAACCCCAATAAGTGGATTCTGAACAACTCATAGGCCTAACCAACCACCCACTTTACGCGCTTGTTGCGCTTCCAGTCCCTCTCCTCGACAGTTCACGATACTAATCATCAGTCTTTGCAACGAATACGACATGCCTCTGTTATGACTGTGTCAGCGTCTATACCAGCAACAAAAATAGACTCCAAAAACTTTATTATTTCACCAACACCAAAAACCACCAAGTAGATGGGAATATCCTCCAGCAAACCCCCACCACCACCACCCCCAGGCGGAGGTATAAGCGGGGCAAACTGGCACAACAGCAACCACTACCACTACAACAACTACCAAAGTAATAGTAATACCCCCTGCGACGACAACAACAACAACCGGCGATTGCTCAGACCAAAACGACCCCGAGTAAAATCCGGGTCTTCCCTCCCAACCTCCCAAACACCAGTGGCCCAGCCCACTATGCCCTCCTTCTTCTCCTTCGAGCAAGGATCCGAACGCACCCAAAACGTCCGCTTCTTCAACGGCGAATCCTCCCCTCTCCTCGGCCGGTTCCGCGCTGTTCCTCGACCAAACACCACCTTTGGCGGCCCTCATAGGACGAACACGGGCGGTAGCATCAGTAGTATTGGTAGCGGTCCGACAGGTGGGAGGGCGAGGCACTACCACCCGCCACGAGGAGGAGCGCAGGCTGGGATAATAAATGAGCCCGGGTGGAGGGGCAGTGTTCATGTGGGCTATGGGGCTATCGTAGCTGCTGAGGCCGAGGCGGAGGAGGAGGCCGGGGACGGGGATGATGAGGCGGAGAGTGACTCGGATGATTCCCAGGGCCCGGGGTGGAGGAGGATGGGGAAGGGGACCAGGAGGTTGAGGAGGGTGATGAGACGGATGAGGGATACGTGGGTTGATCCCAAGGCGGGAATGGTGAGGAGGCTGGTGGACGTTTGGTGGAGCAGATGGGCTGTGCTGGTGGTGCTACCTGCTAGTTTGGCTGTGGCATGGTGCGCGATACCATTCCCGCAGTACCCCCTCCCGTGGGACGACGACGACAACTCTGGAGTACCTGGGCAGGCCCCTAGCGGGAAGGTACCCGGTCACGGAGCAGCAAGGGTGCAGGTCAACTTTTGGTTCTTTTTGTTTGTCTACTACAGCTTCTACAACCTGACGGCCTTGATTTGGATCACCAAGGTTTTCAACATTTACAGCCTCAACTGGTGGCCGCAGTCTCTCGGCTTTCCTGTCACTGTCTCCGCCATCGCCATCCTGTCGCTTGCGGCGCCGCTACCGCTCTACCTGGTTCCTGAGGCGAGATGGCTGACGGCGCACAACACGGTGTGGATCTCGTGGACATTCTGCATCATGGCCATGCCCGTCGCCATCGCCTTTTTCATTCTCTTGACCAACGAGCGCCATCTTGGCCTCCGCCATTCTTTGTCAGAGACTCAACGCATCTTCACCTCATCCTGGTGGACGGGCGAGCGTGAAGACACCATTTCCAGGAGAGAAAGACGTCAGCGCGCTGCCCTGGACCCAAGCGCATTCGATCCTAACGCTGATCCTTCGCAAATCGGGTACAACGACGCTCGATACCAGCCCCGAGCGCGCAGGATAAGACGGCGGTGGTTACCGGCCAGCTTTGTCAGATTTGTCTGGTTCTGTCTCGCGTTGTTGATCGGCTTGCTGGCCTATGTTATTGGAGAGGCCTATGCCGAGATTTACCTCCGGACGCTGCCGCATAACAACTTGGAGACGATTGTGTATGTGTATGGCTGGATCTCGACCGTTCACCTGCTCGACGGGTTGACGGGGTGGATTTTGGGCGGGCAGGAGGGGGAGAGGGTGGGGAGTTACCCCCTGAGTTGGATTTTCAAGCTGTAAGTTTTTTGTTGCGCTCCATCCAATTTTTTTTTTTTTTTGGTTGCGTGATACGGATATTTTTTTCTTTTTGGCTGTAAAAAGATACTTTATGCTCACGTACCAAACCTACGTCCGCGCCCTATACGCCCGCCTCCGCGATCCCAAACAGTTCATGTACCTCCAGATCCTGTCATCAACCAGCCTCATCGTCGTGACCCCCATTCTGATGTCCCGCTCAGTCCACTGGGTGTTCTCCATCCTCGGACTAAACGGGCAGTCGTATGGCTCCTACCAAAAGATTTGCATACGCAACGTCTTCATCCGCTTCATGGCCGAGAACGCGTCCATGCTCGCCTTTTTGGGGAGCGTGGTGGTGTTGCACTTTGGGGCGAACAAGGATGTGTACCCGTACTTTTCGTTTGACGGCGTGGACGAGACGGAGCAGTACACGTTTAACCTGACGTTCAAGGCGTCGAGCATCACTTGGGCGTGCGAGCTGGCGGCGAGCTTTGTCGTGGCGGGGCTGATCAGGTTGATTTATGGGGTTAGTGTGGTGGTGGAGGGGAAGCTGGACTTTGCGGTTTGGCCGGAGCTGTTGCCGACGGCGGTGGCGGTGACGCTGCATGTGCTGCAGAATATGTTGTTTTCGATCGTGAGGTTGCAGTTTAGATGAGGGTGTGGGAGAAGGTGGGTTGGTTTATGAAAGTATGTGGATATGGCAAGAGTAATTTTGTACACGGATGAGTAAAAGAGTGTATGAACGGGTTGACGGTATGGGTTTGTTTATAAAGGGGGAGGGAACTTTGGCTTGTTTTTTTCCGTGCATGGTTTGCATGATACCCCCCACTTTTCTTTTTTACTTTTTTCTTTTTAGTTCTCTCGTTTTTGAGCATTTTCAAACAGAGTTAGAGCGCAAGTTATTCATGGAGAGTATGAATAGTCATGAGGAGTATATATGAGAGATATGAGTTATGTATATATGACGAGCTAAGAATACTTTTTTCTTGCGATTTGGTGATTTCTACGCTAATGAATACTCTGTTGGTATAACACGGAGAGCCTGCTCCTTGTTCTTTACAGTGTGCTGAAAAATATTGAACAAAAGAATTGAAGAAAAAACAACCCGACCACAGAATAATGTCTAGGCACCTCTAACCTTCTTCTTCTTTGACCCCCGCGGACTGTCCTGGGCACTTCCCAGCGAGGCCGTCCGTTTCGAGCCTGCAGTCGCACCTCGAGTGCTCCCTCTCCCACGAGCGGCACCCCCTCTACCAGGCCGGGAAGAGCTAGGGAGCTCGGGTGTGAGAAACTGCGGACTGTTTGAGCCCCCAACTGGTGTCGTACGCTTTGGCCCTTCCTCCTCCGTAGGCGTTTGAACAAACAGCGGTAGTGGTGGTGGAACCTGAGGCTCGTCCATAGGAGGCGTCTGGCTCCTCCGCCTTGAACTCTCCCCCGCATTGGCAGCATGACGAACAGCCTTGTGGCTCCTCATCCGGGATATCAAGCCCCGCATGTTGGCGACATATGTCGTCGGAGCCCCATGACGGCCGAGCAACTCCATGATACCCTCCAGCTCCTCAATGAACTGGCTCTGGTCGACGAGAAGCTCAAGGGCGCTGTAGACAAAGCCCCTGTCGTGGTTTCCAACCAGACGCATAAAAAGATTTCGATCGTCCGGTGTGTCGCCGCCGTGCGAGTCGACGTTTCGGCTGACGACTGCCTTTAGGATGCTCACCAGCGAGCGGGCTGCCGAGGCTCGGGCTGGTTCAGACAATGGATCCGATCCGCGAGAGACGAGCAGCTCGATTTTGCGGACACAGTGTTGGACCTGCGTAGCTGCCCAGTGGACATCGCGTGGACCTTCGACAGTCTTTTCTTTTTGAGAACGAACCGAGGTGGCGGGTGTATTTTGGAGAGAGGAGGAGTAGGTTTCGAGCTCGGAAAGAATTCGGGATACCCGCCGTTCCATGGCCCGGAAAGGCTCAACGGCTGGACCCGATGACTCCAACTCTGTCCGAACCCACTCAGAAAGCGAATGCGAGGACAAAAGGAGAGAAAAAAGGGTGGCCTCGAGGTCGCCACGACGTATTGGTGACGTGTAGTGTGAAGTCCCAAGATCTGGTCTGTAGGTGTCAAGCTCTTGGGATTGCACACCAGCTAGTGCCGCAACCATCTCGCGAGCCTCTTGTATTCGTGAACGCGATGGATCTGAGGTGTCGTTGTCTGGGTCAAAGGTATCACAATGAAGGTCGTCGGCAAGAATGTCGAGGCGGATGCGAGAGATCTGGTCGAAAGGATCTTGAAGTTGCTCAGGATACCCATACTCGGTGAGAGTAAGGCTGGCTTCAAGGTCGTGGTCGAAGAGGGCTTGTTTCGATATCCTGTCAAACAACCAGATAAGGTGTTTGCAGGGTTTTTGGTTCCGGTATCTGGCGTCGGGGCACTCGCAGCGAGGTGTTGAGTACGTCTTGCTGTTTTTTGAGCCAATTCGAATAGAGCATGGTACCGTTTCCTGCATCTGGAATGCGTAGAAGAAGCCACCCTCGGCGTCATCTTCCTCTTTTATGCCGCACAACTCTAGAGATATCTGTGGTGGTCCCGGTGTCGAGACCTGATGGTATAGTCCTCGAACCATCTGCTGGGTTTTGTGCGGTAGTTGTGAGATATCATATCTGAAACCACTCGGTGATGATATCACACCTCGGTCGCTGTCATCATCATCTTCCTCCTCGTCCTCCTCCCACTCATTTGTGTCGTCATGTCGTTCGGATCCGGACATGGAGGGGTTAGTCCTCGGTGATTGAGTCGGAAATCTGGCCTGTGCCATTGTTGGTGTACCTTCAAGAGAAAGCATGCTCATGCCCGTAGTGGGGGAGATGGACATTGAAAGCAGTCAAGCTAAGAAAGAAAGGCAGAACACGGAGTGATGATGTGTGTCAAACCGGGCCAGAAACATCAGAGCAGCGTGTGATGTCACAGCAACCGGGAAGGAACTTCTTTATGTGATTGGCAAAGGGGCTGAGGTAGTAGCGTCGACGACGATAGTCATGGTGATGAAGAGCCCATACATGCGGCCCAGTGCTGCGCTGGGATTTGACTGTGGACCGGATCGACAGACGCACAAAAGGATAGGACAGGCCGCCAGCGAGATAATGACAAGATAGCCGCGAGGACAGAAAGGGGAAGGCCAACTAGGTCTCGGGAGGGGAGGGCAGGACACTTCTTTTCATGGACACCGAGCCCCGAGCCGAATGCTTGTTGGAAGTGAGTCGTCCATGGTCATAGATCCAAGGAATGTAACTTGTCCCAGCATTCTCGGGTCGGGCCCCTATTTGCAGCAACTCGCATGTACCCGTCATTGCTAACCCCCATGGAGGCGGGGATGTAAATCGCACCAGGCAGCCTTCCCTGCTAGCCGAAGGCCAGAGTACGAGCGAGACACAAAGAATACGGGACTGTTGGAAGCAAAAGCCAAGTGATTGCTTAGCATCGCTGCGGCTTAGATTTCGCTAGAAAACTGATGAAACCTCAAGATCGGGTGAAGCTATATTCGGGAAGGAGTCTGACGGATTCCATCTCAAGTTGTCAAGCGGGAAGAGAGCCCAAGGATCCGGCAGTTGGAGGGGCCTGTCGCAAGCTGGGTCAAACTCGATGATACCATGTGTGTCGGTGATGGACAAACGTGCCAAAGGGCAGCTTTCCAGTCGTCTGCTCGGCTGCTGTTTGTGGCTTCACTGCAGGAAAGGAGTCGAAGGATGGATGGTGTGGGAGTTGATGGTGCCAAGACAGGCCCCCAAGGCCCACAAGGCCTGATTCTGGGCCGCGTTGAGTGGCTCGTGCCTCAGCCACGCCTTCTCTTACACCCCATTGGTTGGAATTAGCGGATGTATCGTCAGCCCTGTGACCCCTGTTCTACTGTTTCTCTCAAGCCCCAAAGCCACAACCTTTTGATGTTGGTCCGTCCTCCGAACGAACTGCCCGGTACTCCTACAATGCAAATCAGCCTTGCCTTGCCAATTGCGACAAGTCTTCCTATCGATTACAAGAGCACCTATTATGCGGCCGCTTTTCCCGGCCCTCCTCAACCGTCCCATCGCCGTTTGGACTTAGCATTTATCGCCAGGCCTCTCGATCTTGCGATCTTCACCCATCCGCTCCAAGCCCCCTTTCCCACATAATAGCGCCAACAGACTTCTAGAATATTGTACATGTCACGTCACCACTGTTCCAGTCCAAGAATGGCGCACGCAGACGACTGGGGTCAGGTGACTTACCACCTCACTTGCCGTCGATTCATGTCAACACTTCCCAGCCATTTCAAGTTCTCCGCGTTTCCCGAGGCGCCCCTTCATCCCGAGAATGCTTCGCCTCAAAAGAACCGACTAACGCAAAAAGAATAGGGTAAACTTATCAACACAGTAAAAACGATCAGCCTTGGATCCGTTCGTCCACTGTGTCGGCAGCACCGTGTTGAGGGTGGTTTACTTGAGGCCATCTTCACATGTCGAGGCATCCCATATTGCCCCTGGGTCAGGTAATGAGCAATATTGGGACATATCATCAATGACGGGTTCTAGCCAATGAATTCACATCATCAACATCTTCCAGAAGAGAGCGGTTACGCTCGCCTATCGCGTCAAGGCCGGCCTCAAAAATCGGCCTTAAAAACCGGCCCTCAGGGCCAACATCTAGCTCCACCGGGCCGTTATCTCCCCACAACTCCCGCTTCCCTGGAGATCACTAGAAAATGAGTTGAAGTTTGGAATTTTCATCTATATCCAATCATAGTCTACGGCGAGCACTACCGGCGGCGTGCCCCTTTCGGTTGTAATTGACGCGAGTCATCGCCAAGTCTGCGCCGCAGGAGCTGTCTGCACCTGGAAAAGGAGTCAAATGAAACCCCGGGGACTCCACGATGTTCTTGATTGTAAGAGGATACCACCGCCTTGGGACAAGAGATTACACCTTGCTGGCAAGCAGCTTTTGTCGGCCGCTGCAAATCAACCCCTGAGTCCATCGGAGAAGCTCTGCCGGTCTCTCCAAGCTTCATAGACAGTGCCCAACTTCATATGAATCAACCAAGGCTTAGGAATCCACACGTAAAATATTTGCTTGCTAACCATGTGGTTGAACGGCAACAGACATATGTTCGATTTCCAAGATATTGCTCCTGTGCCTCACGGGAGCGCCCGGGAGTCCGAGACAGTTGTGAAGGCACCCGACTGGTCGTACCCCGCCCGTAGGGCTGATGATATCACTGCATTTCATGTCCTTCCTGCAAGGTTCGTGTTGTGCTCCCTTCATGCAGATATCAGAGCTTCCCGCAATTCTCGAAGTCTCCGACCCGCTCAGGACTGCAAGCGCTTCCCCCCTTATTAGTCAGTTCACGGGGGATCACCGGAGACAAAGATGAAATCTTCACGTCATCAAGGGTCTCAAACAACTCGACAGCAACCAGCAGACCCGAACCGATATGTCACTCGGTTTGATCAACCAAAAGTTTGATCCCGAGGTGCGGTGACACAACCACCAGCCTTGACAAGCAAAGTATGTTTGTCACTGGCCGGCTCGCCTGTCAAAAGAACAATTTGTCACACGTAGTTGACATACCTGACAAGGTCAGGATTCAGCCTTGCAAGTCCCTTTTGGGAAGGCTACATCTGATTGGTCAGCGCCGGACATGCCCGGCTTTTTCGGGAGATGTAAATTCGGGGGAAGGACACATGCGACCAGACCCGGGGATATGGTAACGGAGAGCCAAGAAGTGTAAACACCACCTCCCCGACTGCCCGATTCAACGAAACTTTCTGTATAGCTAGCTTCTCGTCGTGTGGTTTGCTCCGCCTCGTGATCATAGGCGGCCGATGGTGATGCAGGAGAATGTGACTATTTTCATCAGGTTGTCGATGTCCCGGCCGAGAGGAGGAGATTTGACACCCTACAGTGCTTCGGCATGTCCGTTGTAGTGAAACCGCAACACCGAGGAGGGAGCCCATGCTCATTCTCTTCTGTAATGTCTTTGGGCTTCATTGGGTCATTGCTACTTAGCCCAATTCATCACCCTGGTCACTGGCCGATGCGTTCACCAACTAGGTGGTTACCAAGGATACAGCTCTCCCAGATACACTCATCAGTAACCAATTTGATACATGCACCATCACCCTCTCATCACACCGCACAGGCAGAAGCACCGCACCAGGGAACTAAGTAAGCCACCTCACTCACCTCCGCTCTAGACCAACATAACTCACACACCACCGCTCACCAAAAAATACTTTGTTTGAGCAGAAAGATATACACTCTCATATTAGCTTCCTTATCAACAACCAATCCAATCCAACTACCACACCACCCCCCTGATCACACCGAGAAGTGCCCATCTATCTTGTACTCACCTCACCGCTGACCTTGCTGTCACCAGACAGACCATCGCTCCTTTTGATCACCGATTCCCCCTCCTCACCCTCCCATCCCAAACAGGCACCCACCGAGACCCCTTTCTAACCTGCTCCATTTCATTCTCACATCAGGATGTATTCCAACACATGTCTCTTTAATCATAGACTCTCTTTGACAATAATATCTCCTGAGGCATAGAATCTCCTCAGGTCCAAAGTCAGGTGGTTTAAGTCATGGAGAGAAAGGTGCCGAGTAGATAGCCTGCTCCATAAGCAACGGATCAAAGAACCCAACCTAGACGAGGAATCTTTAGCTGCTTTTCACGTCAGACTTACCGCGACGAATGAGGCTCATGGGTGTTTACCTTCAAAGAACAGAACTTCCGGGAACACCACATTGGCCATTGCATCGTCACCAGATACCCCTAGAGAGAGCTGAGAGAGCCTAGCCATTGTAATGAAGCCATGCTGCTGGACCAGAGCTTTGACCAAAGCTCGTGTCACAGGATGAAAAGAACTCTGAGCTGCTTCTTGATAAACAAGTTGACCATTCACAGACACACAGTTCATCAAAAGCATCAAGGTCAGTAGTAGTGATACTCCAATTACTACCTCTTGCCCCCCCCCCCTTACCCCCCTTAATCCCTACAGCATATCCCAAATGCCTCTTACAAGAGTAATCTCCACGTATATGCAAACAATAAACCCAACCCAACCCAACCAAAACAGTGTACCTTACACTTCAACAGAAAACCCCCCTCCCTCCCTCCCTTGCCTTCCAAGCTCAAGAAACCCAAGCCCATTATATAACCCCCCTTTCCCTGTCCCGTAAACGCCAGAAACCTCTCCTTCATCAACCAGCATAGCAAGAACCCCCCCTAAAAACCCCTTGCCCATCCTCCCACAAGCGAATCACCGCCATAGGCGAGAGAAGATACGATACCTAAAACAACAAGGCACAAAAGGGCAGGAGAGCCCCCCTCCACTGCAATCCAGAGTCGAGAGAAGTATAAAAAACAAACAACCCGCTTTCCCATCAATCCCAATTCACACAGCCCACCCCAACACTCCCCGCCCACCAAACAAACCCAGATTTTTCTAAAACTCAACAACGCCCAAGCTCTCTCTTGCCCCGCTAAACTAAACAGAACCAAATGCATGCCCAGTGTCGCAAAGTCAAAGTCGTGCCATGCTAGTTGAATGATAAATTGAAAAAAAACGCAGAGAAAACCTTGTGTGGTGGGTTGGTTGTGCAGCAGTGCCACGTCGTCATCGTCAAAAAGTCGTCATCAAAAGTCGTTACAGTCAGTCGTACATTAGTCAACCAGTCAAACGAAAAAGCCCCATTACTATTGGAGCCCGGCACTGATCTTCCTCTGTGTCGTGACCGGAGACACATGGCTCGCGCTCCCTACCCGCCCGCTCGTCTTGCGAACGCCCGTGGGAGCTACGGCGCCTTGCCTCTTGGGACTGCTGCTGCCTCCGCGAACCTTGGTCAGAACCCCAGACGCGGAACTAACTCGCTGGGCTTGCTCGTAAGACTTGGTTCTGGCTGCTCCGGTGCCGATGTTCTCGATATCGTTGGACGCATCGTTGTCGACGACTTGATAGACGGTTGTGGTGGTTGTTGTTTGTTGGCTGACGGCACGCTCGCTGGTACGGCGGTCCGGAGACATTGACGCTGAAGCCTTGCGATGAGAGCGCATTCGCAAATACAACTCCTCGTCCGACTCGTTGCCCTGCGACGTCCGGTGCATTGAGATGATCTCGGTTTGGGTCTCCTCGACGGCGCGCTCCTCCTCGACAGTAGCGACAACACTGGCGGTGTTGCGGCCATACCCAGCACGAGCAGTCTTTCTCGGTTGACCTGGTGTCGGCGCAGGAAGATAGTCTTCCTTGTTGTCCCGAGCATTGTCAACCGAATCCATCTCGCCGAGTGGTGTGCGCCCTGCGCGGTTGGGAGGGGTGGCGACGCCATTCTTGCTCGCACCACGAGCAGCCTTTTGGACCGCACGGTTGGGAGTCTGGGGTACACCCTTGGCCGCGTTGGCAGCCATCTCCTTGCGAAGCTTCCTCTCGATGCGCTCCTCGAGCCACCATTCCCGGAAGACACCCTGGTTCAGGTGAAGCCAGTGCTGCTGGGGGCCAACGACCATGCCCGGACGCATGAAGCGCATGTAGGCGATGACCTCGTTGGCGGTGAAGCCATATCTGTAAATGAGGTAGGCACCAATCAAGCAGCCAGTGCGACCGAGACCAGCCTTGCAGTGAACAGCAATGCCCTTCTTCCTGACCGTGATCATCTCGTGAGCCAAGCGAATGAATTTGCGCACAGTGGAAAGAGGTGGGCAGGTGCCGTCCTCGAAGATCATGTCGATGTGCTGGATGCCAAGAGCCTCAAAGTACGAGGCATTGTAGAGAACCGAGTTGAGGCGAACCACGAGTCCAATATTCCTCTCGGTAAAGTGTGTCAAGACATTGCGAAGGGGCTGGTTGATAAAGGCGTCCGACTCGATCTGGGCAAGGTTCTTTGGAAGCAGCTCCCAACCTTCCGTGCCTTCTGGCGTCTTGGCCACCTCGGCGGTCTGTGGGGAAGCAAAAGCAAGGAAGCTGGGCGAGATCCAGTTGAAATCGCCGTTCTCGACCCGCTCAAACTTTTCGTATTCGTCGAGATCAAAGTTCTCAAGAACGCAGCAGCCCTCCTCCTTGGCCTTCCACACACCATAAACGACATCCTGGACAGTGATGCCATAGTCGGCCTGACTATAGCCGGCATCTCTGAAAGGCATGAGGGGGGGGTCGACTTGCGCAACAGGCGCGAGGGCCAAATGTGGTGGCCATGACTGAATCAAAACCATGTAGCAAGCGAGAAGGCAAGAAGCATTGGCACGGCCTACGAACAAGTGGTTAGAATGGAGAAGAAAGCTTTCAGACACAAGATCAAACATACTGCGAGGATCAGCTCTGCTCCAGAAAACAATGGGCCTGTCCTTGTTCTCCTTCGCTCCGAGGATCTCGTGGAACTGCAGCGCAAAGCGGTAGAGATGTCCAATGTGAAGCGGGCCAAAGTCGTGGTGGAAGGCGTTGTAGAGAAGAGTATCATCTACTGTGAAATAGTAGGGCTGCTTGTAGTCTTGGGCGGGAGTGGGCTCGACATTGCGCTGCGATCGCTTCCTAGGCGACCGAGGAGCTTGGTCGGGGTAGGGAAACAACGTGTTGGCATCGGGCGCCTCAGTGTAAGCGGCGAGATATAAGCGGTCTTTTTGAATTGTCAGCCAGGTGATCGGGTAGCCAGGGAGAGGTAAAGAATATTTGACAATTCTGCGGTGACGATGCTGAAGATAACGAGACTCCATGATCCGGTGATACAAGATGCAAAACAAGCCATTGGCAACAATTGAACATACCAGGAATGTACTCGATAATTTGCCCCATATTGCTGGCGTAGCGGGTGGAAGGTGCCATCTCTTCGTGGCTCGTCGCTGCGGTCGACGGTGGTGGGATATTCGGTAGGTGAGAATGCGCGCAAGTGCATGTACCCGTGGCGGCTTCTCGACTTTCGATCAACAATGCAGGTCAAGGTTGCTGCTTTCCAAATGACGCTCTTTTTCTAGAAATTGGTCGCAGTGGGTGGGGGGTAAAAGGTAAGGGAGGCAGGTGTCGTTGAAGTCGGTGAGGACGCGCAAAACCGGTTCTACTGCAAGAATAAGGGTGGCTGGGGACTGATGTCAACAACGACTGGGGTCGACAATGCGCGCGAAGGAACCTAAGGTAGGCTGGGAAGAACCTTGGCTCTCTCTCTGTTAAGACCAACGACGGCCGGCGGCGCAAAAAGCAGTGACGATGATGCTGTTTGCAATTGGGAAGGAGAGCATGTGGGCAGCCTTCGTTTTGCGAGAGAGGTTTTATCGACAGGAGCCAGTGACCCAAGTGTATTTTGACCTTTGTTATTCCAGCCCATTTGCACGGGGGTCTCGTCTCCAGGGGACCGCTCCACAACAACGGCAAAATCGGGTCGCTCTGCCCTCGTGGACCAATCAGATTTCTCATTTTCGTTTCCAGATTCTCATCACCACAGCAACCAGCCCCCAAGCTTCCCTCCCCACATCAGTTAAGCTCGCTAAGGGCCATCACAGACAGGGGTTTTTAGGTAGCGACCCTTCGCCCCCCTTCCACACTGTTGGCATTCCTCAGCTATCTTATCGCCCGAAACCTGCCCCACCATCCGCAGCACCACGCTCTTCAGCATCGTCATCCGTCACAAGCCAGTAGCTCCGCCCTTGACGAACTTTTACACTTTCGTTAGCTGCCAGACCATCTTTTTCTCCTCTTCCTAGTCCAGGAAACAGAAAAAGAAGACAGAAAAGTAGCAACCATGTCAACCGAATTAACTTATCCCTGTTCTCTGTATGTCTTTTTCCCCCATCTGATCTGGTGTGTCTAGCAAGATGAGCGCAATCTAAAAGAATTACCCCGCCACTAATCCATCACTGCTTGCTTGCTTTCAACACAGAAGCCTCGATGTGCCCTTTCCCGACGCAAGACTTGCCAATGTTGCGCTCCAGGCTCTCCGAGTAGACAAGGAACTGTCTGCGCTCGTTCAAAAGGAGTTATCGGCCGTTGACTCGACGCTCAAAGTTCGGTACAAGGCGACAACAAACAGGATGCTGCGCGTGGCTGTCAACTCGTTCTTTGACAGCTTGGCTCTTGTGTTGGAGGTGATGGAACAGTTGGATGTGGATGTAATAGAGGCCAGAAAGGCGGAAGAAGAGACTGGTTGAAACGGCAAGCTGCAACTGTGAATCGCCAGAAACATGAGGCAACTCAAACCACCGTGCCGAGCCGCAAGAGATGATGGGGACGGTCAAGACTATTAGGCATGTGAAAGTTAACTGTGCAGCCTATAGAGAAAGGCGCGTTTGCTGCATTGCTAGCCTCAAGAGGCACAGCATCACGGGAGCATTCGCCGGAACATCAACATCAACATCAACATCAACATCAACATCACCAGGGGCACGACAAAGGCGTTTGTAGGCCACCAGACATATCCTGGGACGGGTATCTTTTGACGTTAATAAATGGCACTTAAATCTGCTCCTGCTTTACCAACTCATCTTCAATCTGCCTTTGCAGCTCCATCTCAATATCAACAGCCATTGCATCGTTGTCGTCCGGGGCAACCCCGTTTTCTTCTGCATGACCATTCATCCCATTTGGTGTGGTACCATTCGGCTGGGCCTCGGGCTGCCGGCTTGGCTGGTGTCTAAACACTTTGATGGTGTTGTCCTGCCCACAGCTGACCATTGTCTTGCCGTTGACATCCACCCAGAAGCACACGCCATCGTGCGCCCCAGTGATCCGTTGGACAATCATCTTGTCTACAACATCCCACATGACAATGTCGCCGTCCTCGCTGGCTGACACTATGAAGGGTTGCGGCTTGTCGTCTTCGTCTGGCTCGTATCCATCCTCGGCGTAGGTAACAGCGCCAAAACACCCCCCGATAGAGAACCCCTTGTTCTTGTGACCTTGATATGTCTTCTTGACCGTACCAGATACGTAGTCCCACAGTCGAATCGAGTTGTCAAGGTTGAAGGCTAGAACGAACCTTCCGTTGGGGCTGAAGCAGACGTTGGTGACGGCTGGGTTGTCTTCGTGGACTAGTGTTCTAAGACATTGCCCAGTTGAAGTGTCCCAGACACGACTGTGGGCGCAAACAACCTTGTGTTAGTGATCGATCAATGAAGGCGGCAGGCGGTTAGGGATAACACTTGCATCAATCCATCCGTACTGCAGCTCACCACCAACGTCCCGTCGTTACAGAACCCAATCCCGCTCACTGGATCACTGTGCGCAGGTAAACTCCTCATCAACCGCCCAGCTCTGACGTCCCATAAGAAAACCGCCTCGTCATAGCTCCCGCTTGCCAGAATGTTGCCTTTTGGTGAAAAGGCCAGACAGTAAACGTAGTTGTGATGGCCCAATAACGGACCGTTACCAGTTCTCCCTCCTCGTATCGTGGACGAGCCTCTGTATTCTTTTCCGGTAGCATCCGGCGTAGAGTGCGCAGCATGCGCCGGGTTCCCTGTTAACCTGTCCCATAACCTGATAGCTTTGTCGTCGGACCCCGTGGCGATGGTGTTGCTGTCGGGCGCCCAAGCCAAACAAGAAATACCGGCCATGTGCCCGACGATGGTGTCCAAGCACTCTCCCGTAGCGGCGTCCCATATCTTTACTGTGGCATCGGCCGAGGCAGAGGCGATCCAACACCCGTCGGGGGAGATGCGTACTTGGGAGATGGCTTTCATGTGCCCCTTGAGGCAGAGGTGAGGTTGGTAGTTTGGTCTGATAGGCGGTCGGTGGATGGATGGGGGGGTCGGTTGGGCAGACTGTGAACGGGATATGGACTGGGAACGGGATCGGGAGCGTGATTGTGATCTAGAGTATGGTGTTTGGGAGCGGGATCTCGATCTGGATAAGGATCTTGATCTCGACCGTGAACGAGACCGAGATCTTGACCGTGAGCCATCACGGGAGGATGTAGGTGATCGGGAATTGTATCTTTCTCTGCTTTGGCTGCGCGAGGCCCGCTCGCGACGTATTGAAAGACCTTGGGTCTGTTGGACGAGGCTGCCATCGTGGGGTGGGGTGCTGTCGCGTGCACCATCAAGGTTGCCAGGCGAGCTGTACCGTGGTGTTGAGTCCATGCTGTCGCCGTCTACTCGGCGTCGCTTTGAAGGTGGTTCCGGAAAAGGGGTCGCCGTGGTAGAGTCGAGCGTTGACATTGTTTTGTTTCGGCGAGGAACTGGTTCAAAGGGAGCTCCGACAGCCTGCCTGCCGGAAAAGTTTCCAGGTCGCGAAGCCGATCGCTGACGGCCGCGTTGAACGTTGCAGTTGACGGGACGTGACAGGGGGCTTTTGCGCTAAAATCTTGGTTGGATCTGCTGCCGCCGGCCATTGGCCAATTCTAGACCGTTGGCCGGGGATTATTTTCAGGCGCGCACAGGCACTGAAGGGACACGGCAGGGAAAACCCAGAGTTGGTGGATGCCATTGGACGAGATTGGGGACGTCGGGGAGGTGCTTGAAGCTCTCTTCTTTCATCAAACATATCTGCTTCGTATTAAGGGAGTTTTTATACATTGCGAGGGGTGCATATGTTATGAGATATATCTCATGTGAAGCTTCTTATTTTCTTTGAGCTTCAAACCATCTTTCTGTCAACAACAAACAGACGCGAAGCTGCCAAACACAATCTCGTACGAAACATATCAACAATCTTGAAGGACCATGGAAGAGTTACCGACAGAGCTCAACATCGTGACGCTCAATTGCTGGGGCCTCAAATTCATCTCCAAGCTGCGCAATGAACGCTTGACCGAAATCGGACGTCAACTTGCGATAGCGGACCCTTCACCACACATCGTCTGCTTACAAGAATGCTTCACTCAGGAGGATTACAAGGCCATCCGACGTGAGACGCGCTTCATTCTCCCCTATGGGAAGTTTTACTTCAGCGGGCCTTTCGGAGGAGGACTCGCCATTCTCTCAAAATGGCCGATTGAAGAGAGCACTCTGTTTCGCTACCCACTGAACGGCCGGCCGACGGCTTTCTGGCGCGGAGATTGGTATGTCGGAAAAGGGGTGGCCTGCGCAAAGATTCGCTATGGGCCGGCGGCGAAGCAGGTGATTGAGGTGTTCTGTACTCACACTCACTCGCCATATGAGGCTGGTCAACCCGACGATTCATATCTCGCCCAGAGACTCGCGCAGTCATGGGAGATATCAAAACTGCTTCGCGGAGCTGCTGAGCGTGGTCATCTGGTGCTTGGTTGCGGTGACTTCAACATGATTCCCATGTCACTGGAACATCAACTTGTTACCGCCAACACACCTGTTCGCGATGTCTGGAGGGTTTTGCACCCAGACAGCTCTCTCGGGCCAGCAGATCACCCGGCCGAAAAGGCTCGCCGCCGCCCAATACCAACTGCAGGGTTCAACATTGAGGAGAATGGCGCCGCTTCAGACGGTCCATATTGCACATGGCGGTGGACCAAAGAACAGCAGAAGCTCCTCGGCCCAGGAAAACCCCCAGTCACCGTCCCCCCTGACACTATCGGTATGCCCCTTCATTACTCAACTCGACGTAATCAACCCACTAACAACCCCCAGACCGCCGCGGTAAACGCCTCGACTACATCTTCGCCGGCTCAGGCGACATCGCCTCCCTCAACGGCGGCTGGGTCGTCAAGGCCGCCCGCGTAGGCATGATGATGCGCCACCCAGAACTAGGCTGCTCCCTCAGCGACCACTTTGCTGTCGAAGCCACCCTCGCCTTCCACCCTCTGTCCTCTTCCTCGGCACAGTCCAGCAGTAAAGCACCGCCAAACGGCAACAAGCCCGCCCCCGCGGACGAGTCCCTCATCCTCAAAGCGCCCCCCAAAATCCGCCAACCTGGCCAAGACGACGCCAGCACCATCCCCGACACCGACGACAAGTACGTCCAAGACGGAACCTACCTCCAGTCTCCCACCCCCTCGTCCATCAGGGACAATTCTTCATTTGACGCCCAGCTTTTGTCCTTCCTGACCGCCGATCACCTCCAGCTGCCAACCTCGGCGTATGATTTTATTTTGCAGGAGATCCACAAGTATAGACTCCGGGAGGAGAAGCAGAAGAAGTGGAGGGGGTGGCACTTTTTGGGGTCGTTGGCTGTGTTGGTCGGCTGTTTGGTTGGGGTGTGGTGGTCACCGGCGAACTATGTCGCTTTTGTGCTGGTGCTGGTGAGCAGCTTGAGCCTTGTTGCGGGAACGGTGGATGGGTTGATGAGTTTGTTGTTTTTCAGGAGCGAGCTGGGGGCGTTGAGGGAGTTTGAGTGGGAGGTTGTGAATGCTAAACTGAGTGCTGGGGGTGGGGTGCCGACTGCGGATGGGGAGGGGGAGGAGAGAGGGTGGTGATGTTGGTGTAGGAAAAGGAGAAGAAGGTTGGGTGGGATGATAATTAATTCATAATAATGGAAGAGGTGGGGGTGATGAGATGGATGATGTGCATGAGGTGTTTATATACCCGGGGAGCTATCTGGTCACGAGTAATATCATTTTCTATCCCCATTTCCATACCTTGACAGCTATCAACATGGTCATCTTACTTTAGGGATTACATTACTGCTCATCAACACGCTACCCATCTAACCCGATGACCCAAAGGCGAAGTACCTAAACGCACAAACAGGAACCGGAAAACTCATCTTTCATGGCAAATGAACCATCTATATAGCCCCCTTTCCCTCTATAACAAATGACACACACTTAAAAAGAAATATACAACCCATATCCCCACCCTAAACAGGCACCCCATCCACCACCCTCCCATACTCCCAATTCTCCCCGCTCAACTCCCCATGGCAAGCCTCCTCGTATCTCGCCATCTTCGCCATCCTCTCCTGCGCCTTCAAAAATGCCCCCAACTCACACCACCCATCCTTCCTCGCCCCATCGCACTCCTCCAAGCTCCACCCCAAATGCACCGTCCTTTGGTTTAGCACAAAATGGACATACTCCGTCTCTTTCCCTATCTCATCCACCTCCCGATTCGCCAGAACCGGTTTTTGAGTTTTGATAATCTCGATGTCGAGCCTGGCACCAAACGGCGTCATGTCCGACACGGTAAAGTTATGCTGACCTGGGTACTTGAGCGGGTCGAGTGTGGCCCCGAACTGCGTCAGGCCAAAGGCAGCCAGGATGCTGATGATGTTGGTGTCGTGGGAAAAGTCAAAGTAGAGAGACTGGTTCAGGGGAAATGTGCCGGTGTTGTTGTCGAGGGTGACGTTGATCTGGGAGCCTGAGTACCCTAGGGTGCGGTTCTGGAGGCGGGCAACGACTTCTTGCTGGTAGCCAAGGCCGATCGCTCTCTGTTACACATCATTAGTAAAGATCAAGAGAGGGTAGCGTGTGATGAAGACCTACTCCAACCGGCGATCCAAATCCATCGTTTCCGTAAAAGTTGAGATCGATCGAGTACCCGAAATGAAGCCACTCTTCATATGTAAACAACTCGCAGAACTTGCTGAAGCCGTATGCCACCTATCCTCATGTCAGCCGTACGCATCCTCATCACCAAGTCAAATACTCACAGTCTCATATGGACACATTGTCTGCGCAGCGTATGTATCCTCAACCGTCCACTCGTACCCTTCAACCAACTTCGCCAGCCTCTCCGTTGCTATTTCTCGTCAGCAAACTCCCTTCACCCATCCCTTTTGCTTCAACTCACCATTCTGCAAGTAAACCCCAATCCACTTCTCCTGCGCCTTGGACCCCCCATTCACCTTGTTCCCATTCGGGCAGTTCAAATACCCAGCCAGACTATTATTGTACCCAGCATCCTCAATGATAACCTCAATCGTCGCATTGCTCGTCCACCCCAACCCAAAGAACCCCGCCATAAAATTCTCGGCCGACTTCAACATCCTGTCCTGCGTCGTCGTCCGCACAATAATCTTGCTGTTAGGATTATACAGCTTCCCATACATGTACGCATGCAAAACCCCCGAATCATACAACTCCTGCCTCCCCTTCGGCACCAGTATCTCCTGCCCCAACTCATACCTCCACTCATTCAAAAACCCTAGATCACCACTCGTCTTGAACCCCCCCTTCTTCTTCGCCTCCCCGATCCTCCTCCCCAACCCATCAACATTGCTCCCAACAGTCGGGTACCGACTCCCATGCCTAGACACCATCTGAACCTGCACAATCTCCGCCCCCTCCGGCAAAGGCCACTCCTCGACCCCAAACCCCTTAGCCGGTCTATACGGCGTCAAAAACCCCATCTCCCCAAAGATACTCCCCCCCTTCTCACTCCCATCCCCACCCCGCACCGGCACCTGCGTCTGCAACGGCTCGTTCGGAACCCAAGTCTTCCCATCTTCCACGCCCCACTCCCTCGTCTGGGCCAAAAAACCCGGCTTGCCAGTAGCAGTTGGCCCAGCCCATTTCCCGTCCTCAGTATTAAAGTACTGAGGCACAGTACTAGTCGGTTCGCACCCCCCACCACCAGGCCCAGGAACAATAAACTTACCGTTTGGTTTCGTGGCTGATGGGGAGGGCGAAGGCGAGGAGTGATACCCAAACAGGGAACCATCCCCCGTAAACAACGCCACCAGCAGCACCAGTGGCAACGACACCAGAAACGACAGCGAGAAGGTGACTACATCCCTCCTGTAGATTCTGAACGCGCGGGGGTCAAAGTTTCGGGGTGTGGGAGGGAGTGGTTTGCCAGCTAGATCGTCCATTGCGTAGACATTGTTGTTGTTGTTGTTGTTGTTGTTGTTGTTGTTGCTGTCGTGGTCGGTGGTCGACACAGGGGCATACCCCGATGTGGCCGGGTTGCGCATTTTTGTAACAACAATCAAAACACACAGGCGCGGGCGCGCGGGCGGGCGGGTGTTCTTTGACGTGTCACAAAGGAATGAATGTCCCCCTGTGCCCTCGAACGGAAGGGAAAATAAAAAAATTAAAAAAATTCGTACTCCCGTAACGAATGAAGAAAAGGGGGTCGAGAATGTCGACGGGTGATTGATAATGCCAAGCCCCTCAAAAGTCGGTGGGCATGTACCCCTCAAACAAATGTCAAACTCGTCATCAACTTATCCTCTCATCTCATCATCCCAACTTGTCCTTTTCCCAGTGTCGAACATGAGCAATGAATGATGAAACAAAAAAACGGGAAAAAGGAAGCAACGACCGACCGACCAACCCAATTCGCAATTTCACATGTTGGATAGAATGCACAGACCATCCAACATATAACGGGCAACCGCGACTTACACACACCCTGGCAACTCCTTCCCTTTTGGATCTCATCTCAAACCACACACACACACACACACACACCTACACAGGTCAAGTTTGACAAGAACGGCAAGTGCGACTGTTGCAGAAACTGCATGTGGCACACTCTTTCATTATGAACATTTTGTTGCAACAATTTCACAGCCTCTACAAGTAAAGCAAACGCTCCCACGTGAGCTCACCCCTGAATTAAACCCTCATCCCCTAAATCCAGTCAACTCACTGTCATCCATCTAGTGACCATCATCTTCCGACTCTCCTAACGAGGCAGACAATCTCACAACCCAAAAATCCAACCTTTTGAAATGGCCTGACGAACACACCATTTATGATACACACATAAAATGCCAAACAGTAAAAATTCTCAATCTCATATCTCATAAATGACGCTT